GTCAGTTGTACAGTTAACTCAAGCTCTGTCGAGATCACATGCACCCTGGCCCACATCTTTTGACAACTAGGTCGTCAATATGGAAAATTACTGTCTTTGTTACCATAATTATACGCTTGATTAATTAAGGAGTCAAGGCCTGCCTTGTCACAATTTCAGCATCTAATACATTTACATACAATAAATGAAGTCCGTTCGAGTACAATAAATGGGATCAGAAAAAGGATTTTTCGCTCTGAGCGTCCATAAAAACCCAAGTCTAATGTTCCGAAGATGTAGTTTTGAGGACTACCATTGCGTGTTTTTTGCCGGCATACTCTGCTCAGTAGCGGGAGACCAACCGTAGTAACAACCATGTTCTAATATGTTAATGGATGGCAACTGTATGTTGATTCCGTGTCATCTATGCTACGGCCATCGCGGTGAAGTAGTACATTTTTCTCCGCTTTTTCCTGGTTTTCCTCTTTGTGCTCCGTGGGTCTGTTACCAGCCGTAGGTTCGAGGATTGGGTTTGCGGCCCGTACCATTACTCCGACAATAGAGTCGTGTCCAAACTGCGTAGCAGCTCCATTGAATTGAAATGAACGAAATGGAGAGGACTAACGAAAGCGTCGGATCCAGGGCCGAAGGTATCGTGTGCTTCGATGGATGTCGCCTAGGCGTGACATAACATCTCTAATCTCTCTGGCGTGCTCGCTGCCCTCGTTCACTTTTTCGCGACGATCCCTGCCCCGTCTGGCCACCCCCTGTCCTATGTGAGTGTGTCTCCGGGCGCCTCTAATCGGTATCACCACGGCTACTGCTGGTGATAGTTCACACCACGTCAGCCGAACGGCTGTAACGGTAGAACAGCAAAGCTAAATCGGGACAGGACAACTTACCGCCCACCGTAAGCAACGTCTGGCGGCACTAACGTTAAAATGTGTGATGGTAACATGATTGCTTTTATCATCGCTCGGCTACCGCAATTCGTATAATAGCTGTACCGTTAATTGTGGCCTATTTTTGCTCCATGCTTTTCGAGCATGTGCCGTCCCGCTAGTAGGTATCCGTAGAATCAGCTTCTCTGCTGTATCGGGAATTCCGGACTTAGCGTCTAACACTGCCGCTTACCGTTCGCGAAGTCGACGCGAACGTTAGCCGAACTAAGGTCGTTGTTAATTTTAACCGTCGGTCAGGCTCCACGGCGCCGTGCGGTTGACAAGCGTGGCTGCTATAGGATAGTGAAAAAGTTAATAGTTACAGGTACCCAGCAGACGGTTAATCGAATATTCAGATCATTTGGAGCTCACCTACCAATCTGGAACAACCTTATGGCAGTAAGGCAATCAATCGGTGCCTAGCAATGACCTCGATTATAACGATGATGATGAATTGTACTCCATTAGTGTCTTGGACATTTTTCCCTTGCGAATATTTTTGCTTTCAGGCCTCAGATCAGTGGCAAACTTCGGAGAAAGGCTTGTCATTAAATCGCTAACAACGTCTACTATATCATATCAGACGGACGATCATCAATGCCAGTCGAATCAACACATTGAAAGCCAAACAAGAACCCTCCCTACGGCAATATTTGATAACGACTATGATTATGGTAGCGATCAGCGGCGTATTTCATTGGCCCGATGCTTACCCTAAGCCCACAACTGTATAGAACATACAATGCGGTCGTACCGTGTACGCGTACATTGACTAGTATTTCTTCGAAATGCACCGGCAAGTGTATGTTTTTCATACATCAAAATTTCAACATTTGTGTTGAAATTCAGTCAAACAAAAAAAAAGCATGTGACAATACATTGGCTTGGCAATAGGCCATACTCAATTAGAAATTATCTTCCAATTGCGAATTTGTCGAGCTATTCGGAATGTTAGGTACGTTTTACGACGATTTTTCATAGCGATAACGATAAAGCTGCTGAAGGATACCAATATCTTGAGGTTTGTTATAAAGTAAGACGCATCTTTTAGATAAACGTGACTTTTAGATAAAAAGCTGGTACAACTCCAGAAATCGGGAGCAAACGGTATGTTTTGCCTAATTTTAATTATGAGTGTCCTTTAATGATTCGTCATGAAGTTTTCGCCGAGTCCTTCAACGAAGTTCTATCTCGGATACAAATGGGTAGAAATTCGGTTGTTGTGTTCGCTTGCCGGTACTCACTGATCGAACGCAAAACGTGGAAAGCACTTACGCTTATAGTATCTTCAATCATCTCGACGATTGTTATTTATAGCTATTGAAGCAATAAGCGCACCAAGTCCTGCTTGATTAAGTAATGTCCCATTATGACGCGGAAACCCATTGACGCATGATACCTCCCCCTGTGATATTTGCAACTTGCGATGCAAGCATTACAACCGCATTGGAAGCTATGTTTCCACGGGTAGGTCCATTTTGACTGGGGAAGCAATAGTTTATGTCGCTCAAGCAGAACTCTGCTCTGTCTGCAGGGACTTTTATTGAGCCAGGAAAAACCATGGCTGCATCAATCTTTTGTCAAATTAGATCTAGATTATCCTGCGGTCCTTGTGCTCATACCTATAAACGAACCGTAATGATAATAGTATAGGCGCGGCTTCTATGTTCTGCTATGCAAAATACAGTTAACTATAATATGTGGATTTTGATTATTCTTATATACTCATATGAATAGATAACCTGCTTTTGCTTTGTGCCCCATTTCTATTTGTATTTTCTTTTTATGGCTACTTAAGCGGGTCACCTTAGCATCTGCTTTCGTTATTAGCTAAATGCGCACGGACAGATGTATTCATAGCTACCTAGTGACATTCAACATGATGACGTATTGTACTGTTATCGTAAATGAAAATCAGCTGTTTTTCATAGTAAACACAAAAAATTTTCATTGCAACATATATTTTAATATCGCTATCAGTCTATGCAATCAATGTTCGGTGTGTACGCTATATATGGATATACACTTATACATGAGAATTTTACGAGTCAGCGCAACATTTTGTCCGCTTTTTAGCCGCTAGGAATAGCAATAACATTGAAATCGGATTTAGCCAATTTACAATTGGAAATAGTTCGACGAGGCTCAACTTGATGACGGAAGTAGAAAATTGCCGTGGTATCAATGCTCGCAAGTGACTTGCCTCCCAATGACATGTTGCAACTTCCAGCCAACACTCGTTCCCGTTCGAGTTCTACTCAGAGTATCGAGAGCAGACGAATCGATTATCCACTGTCACTTAAAGAAATTAAGTAGAAAGTGGCCACCGATGGCCCTTATACATCGATTTCAACGCGCTGATCGTATATAGCTAACACGTTTTACGTGAAATAAGCTTCCTTGGGGATGTGGTAGCATATAATGAACGTTGAGATTAATATATATGGTAAATCTAAACAACTATAGGATGGAGCAAGCCAGAAATATTCAATAGCCACTTTGCGACGAAACTCATTCTCGGCAAGATCTATAGCATTACCCGTGCGACTACCAAAATTTTCCTTAATTTCCGAGTGACGTACCTTTCAGTCTAGCCATCTAATGCACTATACGTTCACAGAAACAGGCAAAACCGTTTACCTATCTCCGCTCTATTGTTGTTGTTGCTGCTCATAACACTCGTCATTATTGCTAGTGCCTTAGATTACCCTAATATACTGCCAACTTCATTTTCCGTCATTGAAACAGCAAGAGAAGAATAGCGGGCCAGGCTGTTCATAGTAATTTTTACAGCAGAAGTCCTCTATCGAGTGACTTGGCGGGCTGACATTGCCGTTGTTGTTGGCTGCTTTTTAGCGAGGTGAAGCTGTCTGTCGTTCGGCGCGTAGAGTTAGAAACAGGCTCGTAATGCTGAGTGATATCGCTGGAAGAACTGTAAGAAAGTAAAAATGAACGGAAGACTAATAAACGAATGAATGATGAGTGGAAAAGCTCTATAGAACCTAAAACACTAACACGTATATAGCTACTGCTCAATGAACTACAATGATAATGTCGAAAAACGCTGTTGATGATTTTGCTGCCGTCGCCGCTGATGATCGTGACGCTGTGGGCAGTTCTTACATCATATAGTCACCCTCCCTTTAGCTTCTCATCTATTTATCAGGCGGACCGGGTTGTGTTGCGGGGTCTGCTCTATTTGACGAATTGCGATCGTAGCGGTCCACCAGTTAGTTACCTGCGGATCCCGCCATTCAGTTACACGTAGCAGCCACTTCGGCCGAAAGCAGAGAGTCGCAGGCCACCGAGAGCCAGGCCATAGAGAGTATCTCGTCGGACCACAAGGATCAGAGTCACTCGTATATTATTAACTAGCGACTGTTAAATAGTGCTTATGATGAACCATAGATGTGGATGAGACGAAGAAGACTGAATAGAAACTGAAGAATGAGCCCGCAACGATTGACACACTAACGAGGCTGAAGTTAGGGTAACAGGTAACTGCGCAGAACTACACGGTCTGGTGACAAACCAAAGCCCGCCGTGATTTCCGCTGCAAACTTCATTACGGCGACAACGGCGGCCGCGGCTCCAGATATCATATAGGCAGATGTTATAACTGAAGCTAGCAAGCGCTCAATTTTATTAGAAAGGAATCGGCGAGAGCAGTACTATTCGTTCCTTGTGCTTTACTGTATCAGTGAGGAATCGCGTCGCTAGAAACTAGTGCCGATTGTTATACGAATATATAAATAATGCATAAAGAAAAGCTAACAGAGTAAGTTCCTGCAAAAGCTTGGACTACACAGATTGAAAGGCATAACACTAAATACCTTTGTCTATGACATCATGTGGTACAGTCTCGTAAGGGCTGGTGATGGCTGCCACATACTAGTAGTGGCATCTTGAATGCAAACTTTGGGTTTAGTGAGCTTGAGATGTTGCTCATTTCTGGTCAAAAGGGTGCTTTTAGGCGGTGCTGGTGATGAGATACCCATCGCAAGAGTGTCCGACCAGAAAAAAACCGAACAGAATGTTATTACGCAATATTAATATTTTCGTTGCTACTTTGAATTTCAGCACTGGATGGACGCTACGAAGAAAATCTACAAGCAGATGAAAGGTAGGTCATCAACGAATTCTTTGAATGTACTTCGGCTTCATAACGTAACACAAGAATGTATCGATTTCTAGGAACATCTCGCACTCGTATGATACTACGTAATAACACTTTAAATACGCACTGTAAAACCTCCCTTTGAGGCGCTTTAGGATAAGAAATTTTCTTGAATGCAGGCCGACTGGGCCAATAGCTTTTTTCAAATAGTAAATTTAAGCGACAGAAGAAGAGGGATTTATTTAATAACGACTATAAAATTTCAGTGTGGGTGATTGCCCCGCCAGTCCTACCTTAAGAGATGCGAGTGTCTTATAAACGTGGGCCACTATCCATATAAATTCAATGAAATATTATATCTGAAAAGTGTTGGAACGTTTGAAGGCCAGTTCCGAACCACGTTGGGCATCAATTTGAAACCCATGCACCGTATGGGCTATTCATGGAAAACTGCTCGCGAAACCTAAATACGTCCTGTTAGTGTAAATTTTGTAAGGTCCAATTCTGCCCATTGGCGACTCGATTACAAAAATGTGTTATCAAAAATATTCGGTATTTTGTGAAATAAAAAAAAAACGTAGACCCTCTCTGTTTTGGGAAAGGAAGGAGAAATAACGTGCACACAACTGAACACCACCAGGCTGTGTCAAACGATACAGACTATTGAGCGCAATTATGGACAAAAACTTACTAGATCCCCAGCTTTGAAGTAAACTTAGGCCCTAAGCCTATCAGTTAACTACAGGTTGAAGTGATAGTTACAGTCAAGTTCAAACGAGGCAAAGGAAAGCTGCTTAATAAGAACAATTTCGTCACTAGACGGCGACTATTCGTAATAATATTTATCATACATTATATATCTCTTTGAACATATCCGATAAAATAATACTAAGATTCTTATTTTCTGGCAGACAGCGTAGTGACCAATGATAGAATAACGAACGGTTCTACTCCATAAAATTGAATAGAATCCTTTAGAATTAAACTAATTTTTGGGATAACTCGACATTTTTATGCAATTGTTGCCAGAGAAATACACTTGTGCGGAGCTAAAAAACAATTCGGCGTGCCAAAAAACACTCAACAAGACTCTGTATTGTTAAATAGTTCTGATAAGCGGTCCTTCAAAGTCAATTGATGTCTCCGTAGGCTCTCATATTAAAAGATGACAATCTGCTGAAGTGCCGATGCGAGTGGAAGCTATATTGAATCGTATCGTCACGAATAAAGACAAATAGGGCTGCCTAGCTTCGCAAGAGAACTCCGTAGACCTCCCGTTCCTGTCAGCAGGTATTTGAGCTACCGTTAGTTACCCTACTGATACACTTGCTTTAAAATAAAATGTCGTTGCGGTACGGGCAAGATCCGAGTTGAATAAAGTTGTCATATTCGAAAGCCAAATCATACCTATTGAGTATAGCATGTATCGTAATGACAGCAACGTTTAACTGCTAAACTGACCGTTGTGTTAAAAGGAAAAATTGAACTAGGCCTGCATTATCATTAGTATCTATGTTTGATTGCTGATTTTATGCTTTATGTACGTTACGTTTAATCAATTCATAGGAAATTATCTTTTTTTTTTTACTATTTTATTGCGGTAAATAAAAAATTAACGAAAAATACAAAATGCTTCTGTAACGGTGGTTATTTAGATCATTCGTAAATTATACTTCTGCAGCACGCCTATATTACTCTAGATATTTAATTGTTGCAGCGGGTTATGTAACTGGATTACCTATTACAAACGACGAAGTCATAGTATTAGCTCACTTTTTAGGACTACAACAACCCCAAAAGTCGCTGCATCTTACGCACTCTAGCGAAAGCCTCTAAGTGGTATATACTGCTGAGTGGCCTAAATCGCTCTGGCTAACTCTCAGCTATATTGGGTTAACGGCAAACAGTTTGCAATAACAGCGATAACGCCCTTGAGTGATAGACCTTGAGGGGACTGCCTCAATAAGATTGCCTTGTAATCCCTTAAATAAACGAAAAAGGCGCTAATCTTGGCTGATAGACGACAACGCCAAGGCGTTGTTGGTTATTTCATTGGGAGCCCCAAGTACGGTAAACAACATCCTCTGTCCGCGCTAAAAGCCCAGAGGGATGACAATTTTTTGTTGTTATATTACATTTAGTTTTCGCACTTATTTGAATCCGTTCCTGCTCTTACGAAGTTCTCAGAAGAACCAGAAGAAGACGCTAGATAGCTGTTACATCTTATACTATGTGAATAGAAAGTTCACAGGGAAGGGATATCTGACAACAATAACAATTAACAATCATGAACTTCGATTCAGTATTTTTCTCAACTTATTCTTGATGTCTACCTTCCCGTGGCACTCCAACCAGTGTTGCCTATAGACGGGTTAATGGTGCGAATGGGTTTTTTTTTTGATGAAAAAACAAACTTTTATGAAATAGAATATCCGTATTATTTTTGTACATGGATCATGGGAAATAATTTCAGCTATTTTCTGTAGAGTCAAGTGACAATAGTTTTAAATCTATAGCTGCAAAGTGTCTACTTGCAAAGTGTCGTCGGCTAAAATAATTAATATGTCATGAACATACAAACTTCGTAAGCAGATAGGCCATATAGACGTACATTAGATTCGAGAGTATTCCGTACTCGAAGCATGGAAAACTATCACCAGCGATTTTACTATTTCGAAAACGCATCACATTTACAATCTATAGATCGTAGACTACTTATATAGAGTTAGAGGTAATTATGGTATCGACATTATCAACTGCGCATCAATACCTCCTATTTGACAGCTCTGCTAACGATAGGAGCTGACTTCCATTGTTAAAGTCGTAGCGACTTTTATTTCCTGTGACTGTCCAGCGTTTACTTAACAACATTTGTTATCTAGCTAACTTACATTATTCAGTTGTGTCTTCTTGTTGATCGCAGGTCACAGGACCTCTAACATTGATAACTATGCAATTATGCAACATTATTATAATTACGAGTAGTATGATTATTGAAGGCTCACTTCGGCACATTGCCATTATATTCCGCTGACCCAGCAAACGCGCTTAACAACATAAATGCTTCTATTACTGATAGGTGAATTGAAGGGTGGCATGTCTCGCGCATCTTTTACGTTTATAAGTACCAGACAGAACCGATAAAAATGATTACTTATCAGTAAAATGCGCATACTAGGCCGACTATTGGACTATGTTGGTTGGGTAACACAACGTTCGTGGGGCGTTCATCGGTTGTGGAAGCGGACGTCCTAGATAAAACATTCCGAAGCGCGGGCGAGCGAACGCTGGATACACATCGTTCGACGGTGCACGTTTCATGCCTCAGCTAAAGACATATATAAAGAAAAACGCGATCCGTGTTCGTTCCGTTGAAACTAATCACGTCCATTACAGCGTACGGTGATGATCTAAAGCATCACCGCGTGATGAACCTCCAAAAAACTGTAGATCGATGCTAATATTAACGCCATATGACTAGTATTCGCTGAGGCGACCGGTTTTTCTGCTGACTTACCCGGCGCACGACGAATTTTTCTTGGTTATCGAATACGAAGCATGTACCTGCTTTGAGGGTTAGAGCTCCTAAAATTGTGTGGCTTACTCCGCTAACGAAAGCTAAAAAGAAAAAAGACTGCACACTCAGTTTTTCCTTTTGAAATTCTGCTGATTGCTTCAGTAATTTCCTGTCACCCCATTGAGCATCTATATATGTGTAGCTGAATTCATCTCTCAGACCTCGTTTCTCTACGAACAGAGACGATGATCATGCTCGTGACGATCTTTGAAACTGAGAGAATGTATGTGTAAACAAACTGAAACATTTCCTTATCTGTTGGGTAATCAGGATTCTATTTTAGTAAATCTTAACGAGCCAGGCATACTTTGAGCGTATCGTATGTTCCGACATTGATGACCATTTGCGCAACGGATGCAGACGGAAGCAACCTGTTTTATACAAAATATTGGCCTTGTTTTGATTTCAATGTGAGAAAGAAAAAAAACTGGCAGATAGAGAAAGACAGCCCCGGGTCGGACCTTGTCTGACCTCCATACGGCACATCCGTAAACGGTTCGGCAGATGCAGCTAGAATTATGGTTTTTTCACAGTTTCTCCGTTTTTCTTTTCTTTCATCAGGAATTGAAGCTGCTGCCAGCTCTGATAAACCATTTCGATCTCTCGATCGCTAGTTCTAATGTGATTCGTTTGCTACGACCAGCTTTCTGCAATCCAAAGGCCATGGACGTGACAATTTTCCAAATATTCCCTCTCTACTCTTTTTCGTACCCTACCTTCTTTTCCTCGGTTTGTGTCAATACTCGGGCAAAGAGAGAACGTTGTCCAGTTTCCTGTAGTCTTTGGCGTTAGTGATACTTCTAGTGGCATAACATCCCGGTGGCAATGGAGCTAGTAACCGCCCATGTGACGCTTGGTGCCGACAACATGATGCTTTGCTTGTCTGATTCTTAGTAGCACTCATGCGGACGACCAATGGCCTAGCGTGGGGCGATCGGTAGCCGTGGATTCGCGACAGATAGATAGCAGAATTGCGCCTGGGGGCCTGAACCGTGTTAGAGGGCTACCTATCCGTCTGGGCAAGCAACTGCCGCTACCTGCAAACAGCAAAAGCCAAGCAGCGCCAACAATTGTCTGTGCGTGTCTCTGTACATCGGTTAAATATAAGCGTTTAAGCTCACCCTCCCTCCGCACCAGTGTATTCTCTCTTTGTTCATATTGGGCCGAATGTTCTGTTAGACAGCATAGTGGAGCAATGGGCATGGAAAGCAGGCAACAAGACGCGCCGCTGTGGGGGCCATCCGTTTGTGGACACTGCACATGAGATAGTAGCAACAGCATTGCTGTGTTATAATAAGGACCACTATACTGGGGTTGCAATAATATCGCCGTGATCGTCTTGACTGGCTGCGACACCTCAGGCGGACCCCCTCGACTCGATTGGAAGAAGTGCGAATCTCGCGCCACCTTAACCATCACCCTCTGCCACTGCCGCCACAATTCAGAAAGAACTCACTCTAGGAAAAATTCAAGGGGAGTAGCAGACGCAACGTCACGTGCTTCACCCTTATCAGCTACATAGTTGTGCTATGCGGACGTGTCAGTGGGGTGTTAGAAGATGCTGTTGTCGCTGTTCATGGGTGCGAACAAGATGGCCCAATGGGATCCCGAGCTCTGACCTAGCAAGTATGAGAGCCTTGTCAATCTCAGCTTTTTCCTGTCAGCGTCGTTTCTAGCTTCTAAATAGAGGCAATAGCCACAATGGGGACAGCCTGAGTTCAAGAAGTTAAGACAGCGAAACTTTGGATATAAGTAGTGTTCCATCTTACATCCCCTGGCCGTCCCTTCGAAGCATGCTATGAGCCAGACAAACCAGCAGAGGACGAGATAGGGCACCGATATATACAACCACAGTCACACGCACGCATACTCACCCGGGACACATAGCGTTGTCGCTATTAAGTGTCACTACTTAATGAGGCATTCCGTTTAAATAAGAAGGGCATCGCCATAGAGACAGCACAACCGGCGCAGCTTTTCCTGGACTTCGCAGCTGGTAATTACAATCTAAGCATTTCACGGATCCAACAGCAGCCATTGTTGTCGTTTTTCACGTCACCGTTATTGTGGGTCTGGACGTCTGACCGACTCGTATTGCTATCACTACCCAGATGAATAAACTGAGTAGTTGTGACACTATAATCACGCCGTGTCGTACGTTATCTATAGAAGCTCTCGCGCGTAAATTTAACAAAAAGTGGCCAAACCGAATGAACGGACCAAGTGTGCATGTTCCTGGATTGCAATGCTTCCCGTATACCACTAGACTACCTGCTATGTCGACCCGTTCATGTAAATGTTTCTATGCTAATTTTTTTTTTGTTTCAGGAGTGGAAAACTATACATTCTACTTTGGTGTCAAGTACTATGCAGCAGATCCGTGTAAACTTCTGGAAGAGATTACGCGGTAAGTAAGTGGAATAACTATTGCCTACTGATTAATTATGCAAGTGCTGATATTGCAAAATGGTGCCAATGCAGGTTCGATTTCTACATAACTACTTTGACTTTCTACATAGAATTTACAAACGTAAAACGAAAATGTTACTAATGTTGGTAAAAATAAAAATATCCAGTTCGAATTATTTATTACATTCAGGTTACCCGTTTAGTTAGAAATCTGTACCATATATGCTGAACGTTAATTCAAGCACCGGACGCTCTAAGACGATAACTGAGAAAAATCGGCTCCTCGTATTTGCCACGTTAAAAAGCGTCACACACAAAAATAATAATCAGCAAAAATACAACAAAACATCTTGTTTTTCGCATTAGTCAAGAAGATTATTCATACTCTCATAATTCAAAGGCTAGAGAATGAAGAATAACTTGATAAAAAAAAAAAAAAAAAAAAATAGGTAACACGTGCAGTTTCCACGGAAAGATCAACAGCCCCTATGCACCCGAGGTTATAGTAAGGCGACAGGCATATAGAGATCCCGAGAGAAAAAGATAGTAAGTCTCACTAAAACTCAAGCAGCGCGCTGCTATACATATTAAGTTCGACCCTCTCTGCTTTCTCGACCACCTCGTCGAACTCATATAACTTTTCTGGCGTATAACACTGCGGACAGCACATAGCAGTTACACGGTGGCATCTCATTCGAATCTATTAAGACTCCCACCCCCTTCCACGTTCCTCGTCCCAAAATCACCCCTCTCGCGCCTCCTTTTTCCGACATCTGAACTCGGCCCTGCAAGTTTCTTCCGTCTTTCCCGGTCTCACCAGCCTCATATGAATAGCATTCAGTCCCTTAGGATTGTAAGACCACAGCGCTGTGCCGCTAGTCTACGTTGGTCTGCGAGGTAGTTACGAGGGTGGAGAGAGAGAGAGAGAGAGAGAGAGAGAGAGAGGGGAGAGGGGGAGCAGCGGACAGCGTGGCTGAGTCGATTCAACTTGACCCTATTCGGCCGCGTTTGCCTCTAATTGGGAAGGATTTCCCTGCCAATCTGCCTTGAAGGAGTCAAGGTGGTCTCAACACTGCGCAGAAGAGCGGGACTTCCCCCTCAAAAAGGCGGCAAAAGAATATATCCTCTGTTCACTGTCTCCCCCGGACGTTCAAACTCCACAAATCCGCTTGACGCTTGCGAATCGCGTGCTTTTCCAAGCATCGTGGCGCTGCTTCTAGGAGCTATTTTGGCTATATAGCAGTAGCGGCGGATCCTGCCAGGTGGAACATTGGCCTGGTGGACCGAGACCGCCCGAATGGAGTTCAGCGGGGTTCGGCATGAAGCTTGCCCACTCGTTACATTTAGCCAGTCACTATGGGTATTAACGAGGTTGGAGATCTTAATTCGGCAACCATCTCATTACACTCTCGTTGCACTCAGCCACTGCTTTGCTAGCGCTGGCGAGGAGAACGTTGCAAGCCTCCTAGCATGATAGTAGGGACATGTCTATAAACCTTTTATAGCCAAAAGCACTAGCCGAGCGGGGCAACTGGCATTCGGCCGGAGTCTCGGATCTGGGCTCGAGAGACCTGAGACGGTAGTGGTGGCGGGCGAAAAGCAGTACCCAAAACATGTGTTTTGGCTATGGGGTTACTTTCGGGGATCGCCAGCATAGGTGGTGAGTGCTTCGAGACGATAGCAGCGCATCCGAACACGTTCAGCCAAGGTGGACTGCGCTTTTCTGCATGTATGTATGTATGTATGAGTTTAGGAGGCAAAGTCCCACTGTGTTAGTGGGAAATCCGTATAATGCCGTTGCCAACGGTTCGTGCCTATAAAAAAAACTATATCGTTATGTTGAAGTTCTGTTTAATTACATTATTACGCACTCATTGTTCTTGCTGTGTTCATCACTATATAGGGCGAAACACTACTTTATGACCTGGTATATTATTAATAATGGTTGTAGACTGGTGTGAACGTTTTCATATGTGTTCATTTGCATTTGTCGGCTAAATTGACATTCGTGCCGGCACATACGCCGAAAGAAAGCTATTTTTTTATTGCGGTTTTGTCACTCCTGTGTACATCAGATGGGTTTCACTTGCGTGCTTCGAGTTAGGCCGACTGTCGTTTGTTGCAAAGAAAAGGGAAAAGACTTGGTGATTTCGCCTGCGCGTAATATCCGCCTCCGTCTCATACTTGTTAGGCCTTCCAAGCTTTAGAACTGTCGCCATTTCGATCCTGCGCACACAAATACTCCGACACATCGGGTCCTCAGAGGTTTAACATTTCTGCTTAAGCCATTCTGAGGGGGAAGGGGGGAGAAAATGGTGTGAGGCGCACTGTGTGTCGTTTGATGACGTTTACTGGGTCGTTCATTTTCAACTATAAGAGTCATTCTTGGCTGAACATGGAGACCCCCAGATAGCATGAGAACCCACGATGGCTTGGAGGTCTCCATCGTCCAGAGACACCGTCAACTCATGCCTTGCATCCGCGACCGAGAAGCGCGCCAGGGGTAAAACGGAGAGCAAACTCAGCAACACCAGCAATGAGGACGAAAGAAATGGGTCCAGTTCCGCCTCTAGAAGGGGTCTAGTTGGAAGCTCAGCTAATCCTCGATGTTACTATCAGCACTCTGTGATATGATAAGCAAGAAAGCACGAATGGCCCTGGACAGCTAGAGAACACTCAATGAGTTCCTGTTCAGGCCACCTTCTTTCCATCCCTCCATGTTGTTCTCCTGGATAGTGCAGAGCCAACAGACGGCAATTTCATTCACTACTCCACGTAGCACTCGTCTGGGCCTGCTATATCCTATCTGTGTCGCTTGCTTGCGCTCTTTTATCCGCACTCGCGTCTCTCTTGTTTTATCTCTTCAACCTTTTTTCGCTTTTGGTTGAGTTTTTGCTGCTCGTCGACCTCCGCAGCTGATTTCGTTCGGCAGCCAACTTCTAGCGTTCAGCGTCCATCATTCTGTTTTGCTGCTGCCATCGCGTCCAAAATCATGGTCTCGACCCTGCTGCCAGCTACCAAAGCACATCATCCTCATTCTGTCGGGTGAACGGTTAGTGCTGAGCTGCTTGTTTTGAAGTTACACTAGGCATGGCAACAAAAGCTTTATCGCTACCTTATTGCAAGTTATTGTTACGATGACTGTGCAATGAGCATACAATAGTATAATAATGCTCTAGATAGTAAGCCACCATGATGACTTCTGCGTTCGCAGTAAACGAAGAATGACCTAGCTTCAGATCTAGATCCGGAAACACCTTTCCTTCTCCTTATATAAATAGGACTGCGGAGTAAAGCACGGCCTGCGAATGGATCCAGCCTGTACCAACAGAAAAGCGCCGTAGGGCGACTTAAATGAAAACGGCGAAAAGGAAGACTTGAAAGAGAAGTGTGTGGTTGACTGAGATGCTGCATATGGCTAATAGGTGTTGTGGATAGGAAAAAGAATTCTGGGTTTGGGTAGTTTGGTTATAGTCTAACCAGGGATCAGGAGCAGATGTAGACAGCCAACAGCTGGAGTGAAAGAGCATGAAACGGGAAACAGAGCAAAGCAGCGACGGAGAGGAGTCTGGAATGCTGATATACACCGCCGTTCTAGCGAGGCCCTTTTCTTGGCGATAAAAGGCGAAGGGTCCTCGTGGCTCAGCGTTCAACGGTTGCTCAGGCCTGGGTCCGTTGAACGGCAAACTCTAGTTGAGTCCTGGTGAGATGTGTGAGCACACGGCTGGTAGACAATGCGAAGAATATGCAATGAGATTCCAGCGTTCCGATCCAATACGCCAGTCTCCACTCTTTACTCTTCTGTAGGGGCTCTGTTCGTGGGCAGCGCGACGCCTGTCACCGTTTAACAGAGAAAGCCAGAGAAAGGTGGTCGGCTTTAGGTTTCTGCTTCATTCGTACGTCCGTTGACGTACCTCTTTCCATCGGGCTAGCATAGGAAATACACAGTAGTGGTATAGGGCAAAAGAAGTGAGCAGTGGCTCGGAAAGGGAGGAGCCGGGAATATTTGTGTTCTCTCCTATACCCCCCCCCCTCCCCCCACCCCGTCTCTGGTGCGTCTACCAGAGATATTTGAGTGTGTAGAGGCTTGAATACATAGGTACGTCCCATCACCAGCGACTCTCTTCCGCGTAGGCGTACTATTATGCGTCACAACAAAAGTACACCTAGGAAACCGCTGTGGATGACAGCGGCACGGACCCCATCGGCCGAACGAACAGCAGCAGCAGGCTTATAGAACACATTGTGTGCATCTTTTGTGTAAAATCACCCTTTGTTCGATCGAACACGAACTCGATCGCCAGTAGTAACTTGGTCTTCGATAGTGTAGAACCTTGAATAAGGGCGCCGATCTGCGATCGTATACCTCTAGGTTATTTCAGGTTTTGACGTTTTCTTGCGCACCTATGGTGCATTGAAGTATCCTCTGAATGTCTGTGTGTGCAAATGGGATTTATATTGCTGAATATGATCGCGTGTTGATAATGTACAGAAAACATCCACGGAAATTAAGGACCCTTTTCTGGCGGCAAATAGATGCAGTTCCATTGGCCGGGGGCATACTAAACGACTGTAGGCAACCAATAAGTTCGATCATTTGATGATTCGCACACGATTTTTTCGATATCCGGTTTTATTGTTTACCTATCATTTGTCCACGTTCTAAAATTCCGTCAGAAAATTACAATCCTCATGAAAAATTCCCAAACTGCAAGGAAATATAATTAGCTGTTATATTATTTTCGATCTGTTTTCTGTATTTCCTTTGGTAGCCGTACGCTTGTCTCTGTTTACCCCACGTAACTATTGTTGTATTTTCTACCCCTCCAAAATGTGATATGATCCTTCTATGTATGGCAACACGGGCTTGACCTGTTATTATCCTTTTCCATCTTGGCTTCTTGCTGTATGTAACAGCCACCCCAGTTTCCGCCTCCGCTATTGCCATCCATTACGACAACCGCTGCAGTTACATATAATTTCTTTAATCAGTGTTATAAAATTTAGATGGATAGCTTTATAAGGGTTGGGACGCAATTGCAATACTATCATTATTATCACTGCCAGCATGATCATCGGCAGTAATGGCAACATTTCCATTTTATTGCACTAATACCAACAGTCGTACTTAGCTGTTGGCCGTATAATATAGAAGTAGATCATGGGACTCGTCGTCGTCGGTGGAGCGTTAGCATCCGGCGATTACCCATTTTCTCCTTTTTTTTTTTTTTTTTTTTTACCTTGACTCATATTTTTGCCTTACATAGAAAGCTGGCAAAAGGCCGGTACATATATAACAGTATAGTATAGCACATTTTGCTAATCACGAATCGGCATGACGTAAATCGCCGCGCTGTTTATCAGCAGCAGCAGTGGCTTACTGTTAAACGGAGACACTGCCCTTTCCTGAATACACGCGAGAAACTAACGGAAGAATTAAGATCTGGGTCTAACATTTACACACAGATATAAACGTATGGACATTAAGATGAGCACATAAAGCGCAAGTGCTGCTCTTTCTTCTCCTATTAGAATCTGCTGTTGTAGTCATTATCGTCAGTGTCGTCGATATCATGGTGAGCCTGACGGGCGCGACAGTGATGTCGTGTGTCACGTAATGATACTGTTTTTAATATCGCGCTTCCATTCGGCAGTAGTGGTCGCTGGGTAAGCTGACCCGCGCTAAGCGGCCTCGGAATTAAACGCTAAGAGGGTGCCATAGACCGGAGAAGACGTTTGATAGAGAATTGTTCTTGGACAATAAAAAATGAATGAGCGTTTCCGTAGTTGCAGTAGAGACAGGCTAAAGAAGTCTACCAGCTTTTGACGATCCAGCCGTGAAACCTTCATTGTTCATTGCAAGGAATTTTTGGGGTCGCTTGGCTATAACAGCGACTGCAGCCATGATCGGCCGACGAGCTGCTGCTAAAGCCTGTCCTTAGGTTTTATATTTGGAAAAGACTTTATAGGCTAATTTTCGCCATACCGTCAATGTTAATGTGGAGAAATTAGAGAGTGGAGTTTTAAGCTGTTCTATTAGTGATCCTATAGTATATAGGCGGGTTAGTTCGTGTAAACATATCTGCACATTAAGGCAAAGGGTGTATCAGCAATGAAAGCTAGATGAATAGAAAAGTCTGCGAGGTATCTGTAAGACTCATTGTCTAAATTAAGAGTCTAAATCAGCAGATATAATCGAAAGCCTTACTTTATTCGTATTGCAATTTATTGTGGTCAATTCAATATATTTAATCCTTCGCAGAAAATCAACTATTACTATCATTAATATTTTACTAAATATAATAGTATAAGAAAAAAGGAATGGTCATTTAGTTCAACAATCTCGACCGAGCTAATCTGGCGGCCACATCCTGGGTTCTAGCGATAGCGGTTGGCCTACCGTTGGACGTCAAAGCATCTGGATGCTTCGAGGGTCATTGTGCTGGGCGACCGACGTGCCCCACCAGCGACCCAATTTGGGCTTTAATCAACCGTCCTATTGCTCGTGGAGAATTTGCTCATTTTGCTGCTGCTGCTCCTGCTGCTGCTGCTGCTACTGGTCAAACCCCGCCCTGGCTTGACCGGTCAAAGAGTGCGCAATAACAACGAAGTAGATTTCTACTAATCAGTGCAATTGCCCTCTGTCTTCTGCGGTCTTCGGATGGGTGGAAAGGATATTCCCTGTCTTTCAGGAGCAACGTTTAGATGGCTTTCATCCAGCCAGTAAGGGATGCCTTTAACAGATGCCTGGATAACAGTGAGGCAAAAGGCGACTCATTCCCTTTCGGTGATGTGGCCTTACTAAAACTACGGTAGTTTTATTGTTAGCGGTCGTTTCTTTCTAAGGCAAAGCTGTTAAAGGAGAGAATAACCCCTAAGTTGAGGCTGTTCAGAATCGGAAATGACTAGCGAATGTTTTTTATTCCCAAATAAGAATTATTTGAGAAGTATAAAAGAAGTTTGTTAGAAAGACTGTTGTACTTCTAACAGTACAATATAGCAATTTTATAGTAGCGTCAAGAGCTTCTCGTGACAAATATGTCGCATCACCGTTACAAATGAGGTACAATTTCACATTGTGTTTTTTTTTTTTTTTTTTTTATATGTATAGAATTCCTTGGAGCTGCTTCGTTTTGCATTTCTAGTTTTGGCGTATCAATATCACCTAGTTGGACCTTTTAGTTTACTATTATGTTTCTTATCCTAATTAATACATAGTTTTGTACCCTTACCTTCTAAGTTGCGACAAAAGTTAGTGGCCTTAAATCGTTGTTGGAGATATGTACGGATGCTATGGATTAGTACATGCTCTCGCGAATAGATGAGCTCGTTCTGAGAAATTTAACAAATAATTGTACATTATTTCAGGTATCAGTTTTTCCTACAAGTGAAGCGCGACATACTGCACGGTAGAGTTCCCTTAACTTATGACCTAGCAGCTCAGCTTTTCGCGTTCGCCGTCCAGTGTAAGTAAGAATGTTAAAGTTGTTTTAGTTACAGAGATAATTATGAAATTTTGTGTTATCACATATCGTTACACACTCGATAATGTATAACAAAGATATGGAACTTCTCATACGCGCATAATCTCAATTCTAGTTCCGCCAGGTTATAATGATACAGTACTTAATTAACAAAAGAACCTAGACATTTTATTTACGCAGAGAAGCCTATCAGAGAAAGTACAGAATTGAGTGTGTCCGTCGAATGTACGCGCAAAGGCGGTTTTTTCAAACTGTTTCGGGCGGCTGCACACAACGAAGCAAAATTTAAAAAACAATAAAAATTCATGCGCTGAAAAAAAAAAACCAATTTCACAACGTTTATCATTAGTAGCCTCCTCTGTAACATAAATATGTCACGTATGCAAAGAACTCGAAAATCATTACAGTGGCCTTAGAAGGACATCAAGGCGATGGCTATTCCAAGAAATATTCATATCGGTTTTAAATTCGAAAAACTTCACTACCTTTTTCCAAATCGTTTTTGCCCTAAGCCAGTGGGCAATGGGCATCTATGCAGGTTTTGTTCGGCCATTCTCAATCGACGCTATGAGCACTTCCTGCATTTTGGAGCGACCTTCCTGTGGAGTGGCGCTCGATCCTATATCGTTTGAAGCCACTACCGCCAATCGATATTTGGTGCAAAAGAAGAATAACTGCAGGAAAGGGGATATAGGGATTTTAGCGACTGTACCTACCATGCAACAGACCAATTTGCTCCTTTTAATAGTGGGGGCGCCTCGCTGTCGCAGTATAAATGTGTGCAGATAGAAGCAGTGAGGTCTCCATTGCCATACAATCTGTTACAGGGCAGCGCAGGTACAGCCCCGAGTATTTCGGTAGTGATATCGACTTCTTAATGGTTTAATCAAAATCTGCAGCCATCTTTTCCTTTCGACATCTTACTGCCGCCGAGTTCGAATAATTTCGCCCCTTAAATCACTACCGTTTATTTTGCCCCTGTGTTATTGCTTCGGGTGGTACGATATACACAAGGCTGGGGCGATCGGTTAAATTGCGTCACTACATCAAGATGGTTCGTTCTGAATTTCATTGCTTAGAATTATTTCGTCGGCAGCAAATATGTTCACAGAATAAGGAAACCAAGATACTGCAAACATTGATTTTTACACTTGGAATAAACCTGAATGAAGTTTACTTTGAGCTTATTCATAATCTTTCTGCCTAAAGCTGAGTTAGGTGACTTCGATCCGAGACGACACAATTCAGGCTACATCTCAGAATTTCGATTCGTTCCCGACCAAACCGAAGCCCTTGAGGAGAAAGTGGTTCAGCTTCACAAAACTCTCATGTAAGTAGTTATAATATATTATGGTCTGTCGACAAAGCTAGTTAATATATATTCAAAATAATAAGAACTATCGTATTCGTCAGAAAGTTGGGTCGTTCTGACCTTGCTCGCAACCTTTTCGTTGTTAATCTATGTTTGCTTGCGCGGAACAATTCAAATTGGACCTTTATTTGTAAGCCAATTTTTTTTGCCTAGGTTGCAAACTGTAAGGGTTTATCTGTTTTGCGTCACTCTTGTTCGCCGGTGATTTTTGTCAGCTTTTCAAGGTTGTGTTATCTCGTAAAATGGTAGTGTAAATGTTTTTGCGTAATAAATAACCTGCTTGTCATCTTCACTGGGCCGCCAGTTGTACCAAACAGCTTAACCGGAAAGGCAACCCCCGGAGGGTCCAACCAGCGGTCTCCTTTTCTATGATGGGGCTCAGTTTGCTCGACTAAATTGTGAGATGGAGATCTTCGCCCGTTTTTTTTTTTCGATACCCTCGAGCGACTGTAAGCTAGGGGAAGCAACCATTGTACTGCTCATTGATGGGCCAGCTGTAGCACCTGGTTACTAACATCACTCTGCCATTTCCACAGTGCTTGATATCCCCAACGCAGACTTCAAATAGCGGTGCACTCATTCCCTTTACTTCTTGTTACTTTCCCGTCTCCTTTTGTAGCTGAAACTTTCTTTTTGCTGGACGATTGAGCGGTGCCCCGACTTGGACCAAATCCGGACCTTGCTGACCTCTAGTGCAGGCTTCTGTCGAAGGAGATTCATCTATAGTACTGAGTCCCCAGTGCTGCCTGTATTTCGGAGAGGGAAAGTACAGGGGGTTTTAACGCCTTTCACATAATGGCGCGAGGTCTAAGGGCTCACTCGCGACTATGTTCTCCTTATTCTGTTTCTACATGAGCCTGTCTTTGTTGTGCACAGGTCTAAACTGCACCCTACTCACGTTTAGGTGCGCGAATCAGCGCCGGCGTCGTCTACTGTTGAGTTGCTTCTGTTTTTCGTGCTCTGCTTGCACTACTTCTATATCGCTGTCGTTTCGGCTGTTACGCAGACTAATGTACGATTGATTGAGGGAGAGCAGTCGACCCACTTTCCCCATTGAGCTACCTGCTAACTGCCGCCAGCCGCTCCAACCTATAGAAGTCGACGAATGATTACTTTGAGAAATAGTGGCTCTCAAAATAGTACCTCACAGGATAAGCAGAAACGATTACTTTTAAGTGAGAAGTCTTTTGTTAGTATCGTATTTATTTTCACACCAAAACTGTTTTATGTATCCTAAACATCGCGAGAGATCGATTCCGCTTTTCTATCGATTCGTAAAGATCGCAAAAGCCAGGTGAATGAGACAATATTTATTCCGTTTTGAAATAATTAAGGGTAGCTGGTAGGCGAAGCTATGATATCGAACATTCTTTGTTATAAACTTACCCTGCTAAGTTCCCCGAGCACACATGAGAATCATTAAAGTGGTCAGTTTTTGAACTTGGCAGTAGAGTGACGCTGTTTGAAATCTTTTCAGTTTTTTTACCTAAGAAAAATTTTTTTAGGTCCAATTTGATATTTGTTTCTGAACTGAGATATCTTTATTAAGAGCGATCTGCACAAAGTCAGTGAAATTATAAGTTGTAAGATAGTGGTATCAATTTTGCATCTTTTTCCTATTTCAGAGGTCAAGTTCCAGCGCAAGCAGAGCTCAATTTCCTTGATCGTGTTAAATGGCTGGACATGTACGGCGTAGATCTACACCCTGTGCTGGGGGAAGACCACGTTGAGTACTATATTGGCCTGACTCCAGCTGGCATTGTAGTTCTCAAGAACAAAACCAAGGTTGGAAACTATTTCTGGCCGCGAATCGGCAAAGTATACTACAAGGGGTGTTTTTTCATGCTGCAGGTGAAGGACAAAAGTGTAAGCATACTCTAATTGTTCATTTGTAGCATTTCATATCAAATAATTACTTGTCTTCTTAGTCATATATAAGCTAATACTCTGTTTTCGATTTGACTACGTATATCAGAATAGCTTTTTTTTTTTCTGTAGGATGAAGTGATAAACATTTCCTCGTCCATGGCTGTAGCTAGTTGAAGCCTTTCCCGCATTCGAAATCATGTATTCTTATGCGGCCCCTCCAACATCGTAGGCGCGAGAGTGTAATAGCTGTCAAATAAAATCCACCACTACCATGACTCTATGCCGACGTTATTCCAACATGATCCAACGCGATCTTGGCGCCTTCTAAAGTTGCTGCCTTCAAGTACAACGTGCGCCGCTACGCTGGTCTGATACAGGGAAACTCTCGTTTCCTGTATAAGCACCTCTTCGTACAAGCCTGTTTGTCGTAAGGCACAGAACCTGCCACGAAGCTGCAAGTTCAACCCTGCTTGCCATTGTCACCCCCCACAGTTTGCTACCAGGTGCACAGTCACCAATCGGAGTGCGGGTGGAAGAGGAGACAGGTTAGCGAGCTCAGATGAAGAAGAAAGCTAGCTGATGTTGAGGTTCGTGCGTAGTAGTTTACCGGCCGCCAACTTTTGCAGTCGACCAGCCAACGCACTCGAGTTTGACAAGCGGCGACTACGTTACCCCGAGCCACCGAAACGTTGCCCGCAATGTTATTCACTCTGCTAACTCGTTGCATAATGAGGAGTACTATGAGCACAAATAGCAGTGAATAGGTAGAAGCACTTTGGTTTCTCGTTATGAGTTTTTCGTTCTTTAGGCGCTTCGGCCTCAAAACGTGTATGGGCCTCAGAGAATCTCAGCTAGCTCAAGGTCTAGTCTCCTTCACTCGGCGACAGGGGCCATCCTCTTTGCCGTTCTCCCATATCTCATTATTGTCGCTGATGGTGATGACCGGCTATACTCACATATTTTTACTTTACGCGTCTGTCCCACGCCCTCTTTCTCACCTGGCGTTTTCGTTTGTGCATGTATATCTGGTTACGTGACTGTGACGGGCATTTCAGAGCGAGGAAAATACGTACGGTTTCGAGCTTCCGAACAAAGCGGCCTGCAAGCATCTGTGGAAATGCTGCGTTGATCATCACTCCTTTTTCAGGTATGTACTTTATGGTGCAGGTGTGATGTCGCTTATAAAGGAACTGGAGGAGCTGAAGATGGGATGCAGCGTGGAATAAGAACTCAATAGGAATGCTAAAATGGCAGAAAGGGCCATGGTTTTAGGCATAGTCAATTGTAGTACGAATATGAGTGGGTATACACCCGCCGCGAGCGCTAGGAGACGCTTGAAGGTTGGGTTTCTGCGTAGCGATTACCGCTTCGCAGCAGAGGTTGAATTCGTTTGGAATAGAGGGGCCGAAAGCAGCCACCCAGAGCTGTATTACTGCAACTATAGCCGCAGCTGGCAGCAGACACGACTGAAAAACACCCTTTTTCTCTTTTCTTCTTTATCTTTTTCACACTATCTAAAGAAGATGAGATATGTAAGCAGACTCTGAACAATGAAGTGTAGTGTTCTGCGCAGACAGCTTTCGCCGGTACGTAACGATAGCAGGGTGATACAGCAATACATCGCTGTTGGGTTTAGCCACTAATGGTATTCTGCTGGATCATTTTGGTGAACTGTTGAGTTGTACTGGCCACGTAATTGCGCATATAATAACGATGCGGCGTACTATGCTGATCACTGCTTAGTATGCAACCTGGCATCAATACAGAAAGTATGAGCAGTATTTTCAACAAAACCCGACTAAAATCCTAGCGCGTGTGCTTTGCACTGTATGCACAGACCGGGCGAGACCTAAATCTACGTCCTTGTCAAATAGGTTCACTATGAACCCGCAGAAGAACATGAACCCGGGATCTCCGAAACACGTTCGCGCTTGTAGGCTTTTAAAGATCGGGTGCACGCCGTACTGTCAATATCCACAGATGCACACACGACACATAGCTACATCCTTATATACACGTAAGGTACATACGTCATGGACTACACACCCATAGAAAATGCAGCTCTATGTAATTTCAACAGTGAAAGAAATAGGAGCTGCCACAGCAACCCTCATAATTTGAATTGAAATATTGAGATCTCAAATCGATCCCTGAAAACCGGCTTACAGAGGTGTGAAGAGGGGCGTCATTCAAACCACTAGCAGCTTTAGTGTGTAATCTCGTTGAATAGCGCTACTCGTATCCCTCTCCGTAAGCGATGTTAGCAAGCCCCGCTGTACAAGGAACCTCCCAGCTTTTCCCGGGTGCGGCTTTTTACAGCTGGGCAAAACGCTCGCTTTCGGCGGCTATCGGCCTACCGGTACCTGCTGATTCTTGTTCGGCCCTTGGGTGCCAATAGTGGCAAGCACTGGCAGGGAAATCCATAGATGGCCTACTGGACAGCTCCCCTACGTAAGCACAAAATGTCTGACTGGGTCACATACTAGCGGGAAATCTATATGTCTGCAACGTTAACCGAAAAATAACAGCGGATTCCACCGTACACAGTAAGCGAGATTTCATACATTGTACTCTGACACATGTAGCGGCCGACGATTCACAAGTTGCTCTAGTACTACAGAAGTGTTACGCTGCGGAAACACGGGTATGTCAGCAGACCTTTTGCTGATATTTATGAGCAGAGACACACCATAGCCGGCAGGTTCTCCCTGGCGACGTTCGATGGGATGCACGTTTGCGTCTGTCTGTGTGTGTAGATGGCAAAGGAGATCTTGGGTTAATGCACAATTTAGTCTGTTTGGGGCAGTATACTTAACCTCCCGTCGCGTATCCAAGTGCATTGTACATCCGCGTTTGCAATAGAACGGCGAGCCTGTGGAAGCTCGAATGGATGACTCTAGACGGATATAATTTTTTAGATATTGTGGTATGTTACATAAACAATTGACTTCGTCACTTTGTGCCACCTTGTACGTACATACACCATCAATTGCGTACATTACGTAAGTTACTACGGTTTGGTAAGATCTTAACTGAATCATGAATCATTATACATAATTACTAATTTTTAATTCATAGTTTTGATCCCTAAAGACAATTTGGTATCACCTAATTTATTCTGTATGACATCCCTTTTACAGATTGGCGCAATCGAATCCAGACGCGTCTGCTGCTACAAGCAAACTTTTCGGGTTTGGGTCGAAGTTACGTAACTCGCTACGCGGCAGCTCACGGAGCAGCAAGGTGTCTGCTGGTGGACCTACACTGACTCCGAGAGAAAGCCGGGACGTGAGTCGGCCCCAGCCCACGTTTACACGAGTGCCCAGCCGTCGCTACCAGATGCAGCGGTTAGACAATCCTGATGGAGCTGACGGTGGGTGAAGACCCGTAACGATAATAGATATACATATAACAAGATCTACGCTTACTAGATGTCTGATAAAGTGTATATTATTGCGAGCTTTTGAAACATCCGAAAAGGATTTCCGTAAACACGATAGATCTTCCATAGGTTTTAAATGAAGAATTAATCATATCAAATGCTTTGATACTAGCGTTATGATAAGGAAAACATTAATCTTCGACTGAGTCGATTTTTTTTAAGACCATTAGTACCTTTTAAGTTTCTTGGGGGTTTTGAACCCTCGCATTTAGCAACTTTTGGGTTGATATTAGCCCAGTAATTTTATTAGAATCTACTGTATGTGGAGAATCTAAGTTACGTTTTATATAAACCAGTATTGTCTGCCACACGGCTATTATTAAAGATCTATTTGCGGATTAGAAAAAAAAATTATTTTGAAAATGACTAGCGCGTGCTTTAGATTCCAAGTTAAAGCTATTGTCACAGTGATAGGTGGCTATATTGAATAAGCGTGAGCGTCAAGAATGACGCCTCTAGCACGTGTAAGAAATGTAATGGACGGACCTGTTTGTTTCTATTTAGATACAGTCGTAGGAATAAAGCACGTATTGCATTCTGTATACATGTATCAAGCAAACATGCATATTGATTTTTTCGTTAATATCGTTGGGTTGAACATAGGCTTCATCGGTATTTTGTGGAACGATTTTTTTGAGCCGCCAATAAATTTTCTCTCTACTCGATATATGGGATTTCGGTAATCAACTTTATTTTTCATGTTGGGCCTTTCTTCTGAAGTAACTGCTTGGAAGGCCTTCGCAAAAGGTTACTAGGGTTACCTTCGGAATCATTTTTAAATGCTGTGTATTTCGCAACACGAACATCCTTAGCAGACTATTTCAAAATGGCCAATGTTTGTTTCACTTCGCCGAACGCGTATTTTATTTATTATAGAAACCGCTCATAATCAATAAGCAGACGCTACGATCCCAGACCGTAGCTGTTTCACGTAAAAGATGCTCCAAATTGTCGCATTTTTGGCCGCATTTGAACTGCCCGATTTAACCCAAAATAGATTTCCAACGCGATTAAACAGATAGCAAATCGTCCTATTTTACAAGGAGCTAGCAGCATTTCTCTGCTAAATGCGGCAAGCCCTTCCGCAAATGTCTTTTAGGTGCGGGGATAAAATTAATCTTCTGATTTGACGAAGCCATTCTGAGCGAGATAGAAGGTCGTACTGTTAATCGGCACGACCAATTCAGGGGGGGGGGAGGGGAGTAGCTCCAAAGCTTCGTGGAAGCTCGATTTCTAATGCAGGATTTTGTCCCTGTTCCAGATGCATTAATCAGAGCAGGCCGCCAGACCTGCGAACGGTCATCTCGTTTTGTTAGCTACAGATTGTCTAGTTCTACTGAGAAAAGTTAATTGCATCGAGAAAATACACGTCTGGAACAAAAGATTCACTCAGAATAAATTAACTTTTGGCAGCCAACTACACCGAGCAGCCAAAACGTGCTCGTTTATTTTAATATCATACAATTGTTAATCTTAGAGCAAGGTTTGCGTGTGACCTCCTTTTATAGTTCAATAAAACTTCGAATTTGAAATTGTTTTAACAACAGCATTTTAAGAGTTGGAATAATTTTATATAATTTATTTCATATTGAGCCTACACATATAGAAAAAACTAACTCTTGCCCTGTGCTCTTTGAAGGATCAAACCTAAAAGGCCACATACGTAGCAGAAACATTGTCCCTGATCACTGCTGAAGAGCCTTTTACCATTTTTCACTGTATTGATTATTGATAAATGGCGTACCCTAGCTTTCTTCGCTCCACTTGGACTTCGCTTGTATTGAAAATACACAGGTATCAAGGTTGTATTTTCTGACGGAGTTTTAACGCCCGTACGATGTTGGCCATTATATGTCTGCGCAGTTCAGCTAACACGATCGCTTTATATAAAACCCTACGCGTTGACCGCCGTCGTCACTGTCGCTAGTGAACTACAGCTATGATTGCATCATACGAACCATCTGGCGGTTGCTGCCTCGGGGCTGGAGTAGGGTGTGACGAGGTTAAGTCGAGGCCACAAGGGGAAAGACAGGCAGCAAGGCCAGGAGGAAATTCGAGTCGTTCACCTTTGTCTCAACGGTCGTTAACACCGCATTGGCTTCTGCCGCTGACGCCCGCACTCTTGTTCGTCCGTTCGCCTCTCTAAGCTCTGTCACTGATTTCCTTCTTTTTTTTTGTTCTTTCGCCATTACTGTACGTTAACCGTACGTGTACGTGCTTGACGTTCTCGCTGAAACACTAACTTTCAGCCAATCCACCATGACCTCACCTGCTACTGGCACCATTTGGCATCCATTCGGGTATGCTATTTCTTCTTTTCGTTCCCGTTTTACCCCACATCTCCTTGCGTCTTCACGGGAGAAACGTATGTGTACGCTTCTCCCGTAAAGCGTTCGTCTTCACGTCGCAGCGTCAGTTGACGTACGGCTACCCATATATGCACACACTGACACATCGAAGCACTACTACGTATTCGGTGTATGTGTAATGCTGAAAATAATAATAGCAACGGGTTCACGCCAACAAGGCCAGTATCAGTTTTACGCCACCACCGTTACAAAACAGCAATAACAGTCGCACCCTTTGGAAGCCAGCTTAAAGGAAAAGGTAGAGTGCTACTCTGTGGGGACATAGACAGCGCCTACCATTACGCTATGCATCCCAGCAGGGACATCTTGTCAGGCGAGCACTAGATACACTAAAAGACGTTCCGTCACTCCATCCAGTCATCGGCACCGTCCTTTCTGCTAGAGCAACTCAACCCGTAGGCAGGCTGTCACCGCTTTTCACGCTCTTCTTCGCCGTTGTCTTAACCGCGCGCGGTTACAAAAGCAAAGAGAACGCAAGAGAAACTAGGTAGCCAAGAGAAACGGCACAGCTTCCATAGCTTAGCTGCTCGCAAAGGCAAAACGAAAAAAAACAAGAGTTTGAGATGTATAAGAGACTTTCTCATGCTCTATGCTAGATACGTAGCATGAGCGCTGTGCTTTTTTTCATGTCTGACCAAGAAAAGTGCTATACTTCGGGGGTCCTTCACCTCCTTCCAGAGAGACGAGCAGGTTGAAGTATGCATTTCATACAAACCAGTCCTGTTAGGCACAGCAGTGGCCCTATGGACTATTTTGTGGTCTCTTGATAACGAGCTTAGTTGTTTGCGAGCCCCATGCCTTTGAGGTTTGTCGAGGGATAGATTTCGCCTTTTGGTCTAACAGGGTTTGCAACCCTTACAAGAGAGCAGGAATATGAATGAATATATGGTACACATGTGTTCAGTTTACTAGGCGCTACTGTTGTAGTTTTCGTGCCGTTTCAGCTGTTTTACCCCTCTTCATTCCTCTCTTCAAACTCTCCGTATTTTTCATTTTGTCTCTCTTGGTCGCTCCCTTTCTCTCAGTGGCAACCCCATGAAGCCCATCGAGTAGCGTTAACTGTCGCGCTCACAGCTCCGTGCGTGGAAGTGGTTTCCACTTTTGTTGCTGAGTTTGCCTAGCGCCAGTGTTGTAGCCGCCAGCATAAGAGTCTACATACAGAAGTGTGAGTCTGTAAAGTGATAATTTTTAAGGCCCACACTTGCTCTCTCACATCGGTGCCTATTTCGAAAAAAGTTTTTAGCGTCGGCTAAACTAATCGCTCTGCCGAGGGCACTTAAGTGTATTGAGGCATGTCACAAGGCGTAGCTGTAAGCACAGTATCAACTGGAGCTCGACCAGACAGCCAACCTTTTCATGACATTACGAAAACACCTATGGGATGTAATACGTGATGCCATGAACGAATGACCATTTGAAAGCTGCAGATAGCTGACATCCTGACATAGCGCGTCTGTCTCTGTAGCTGTGGGGAGTAAGCTATAGGCCATTCATGTTAGCGAAGCCGTATCGACTTTACTGAGCCATCTGCTCTGAACACTGCCGGACCTGTTGTATTTGCAACGCCTGGCCATCATTAAAAACCGCTTCATCTGTGCCTTCGTGTTCAATTGCATTTCATGTAACCCCTCCTACATGGGCACGCGTCCCGGGCACGTCTACATTCCATCGTCGCTTCCGTCCGTGTTCTGCATGATGATTCGCGTGTCGCAGCGACGTCCAATTTCGAAGCGGAATCGAGAAGGAGCAGTGTCGCTACGACAACACAATCGACGCCATAGTAAGTACACCATTTAATCCATCCTTATATGTATTTTGTATTGTAGTAATTCGCAGACATATCATGTATTATATAGAGTAGTTATGCGGGGCTCTTTCGTTCCATACACTGATCGCGTTCTCGTGTTATAAGGTTCAGATGAAACAGTGTGGTTGTTATTAAGGCTGTTGCCAGCTCCTCCATGCATATGATTGTATGTGTGCTTAAATATGGCGAATATATAAACGTAATAATGAGCATCATGCGAAGAATTAACGTTAGCCACGCTTATCATACGTATATGCAACTATGTGAACATTGTCCTTGCTCATGTCCTTGTTACGATAAATTAAGGTACCAAAAGATTGATTGATTCCTTCGATATTTATTCGTCCTTCAAATGTGACAAATTGTTTCGCAATGAGCACCCTTTCCCGAAACGAACGCTTTCTATTAACCCGACCAATGCGTAAGCTATTTGTCAGCAACATATGTTGTTCACGCACCGTTTATCCCCTCACCTACCTCACAAGCTTCATTCCTTGAAGGTTCCGTCTGTCCTATTGACGTTCGACTATCCTGTAGCTGTCCTGATATTCGCGCATAGCGTCCCTTTTCGGAGCAGGAATCTGCTTTTCTTTTCATATAAACTGTTCGTTAAATCTACGATTACGTACTTCTGACGCCTGTTCTATTACTACTACAATTGCAAGCGTCTCTGATTCTTTTTATCGTATTTCCGCGTATTCTTAAACGTTACCTTTAACAAAAGCCCTTGCTCTTCAGCTATCTTACTCGCGCGCGTTTTCTAAAAGAATGACCAATTGGACCGAGGTGCATTAATAGCGACTCGATATTGCATTGTCCGCTCCTTCCACTGAGTTCATGAACTTTCCTGATCTCTCACACAAAAGACCCTTAGAACCTATACTCATTTCCTACTTTACCCGTTTTTTCTTCCCCTCATCTTTGTTTTCGCTATGTTCGCTTACAGCCTGCTCATCGTGGCGACAGGCGAAGATGCCACCAGAGCTGCCGGTAAGGCCACCATCGCGCACAGTGGTTAGTTACTAGGACAAAGCGCCACCGCGAATAATCCCTATGTTGTAACTGTGTCTCTTTGACTAGATCGGCAGCTCTTGGTCTAACCAAATGTTCATCTGACGGAAGCTTGCTTAACGGCCTCGACTCAGATTCGCCTATTAGTTTTCCTCCGAGCATTCCATATATCTGTTTGCTGCCACTGCTGTGGTAGAAAGGGATGTTTCTATACACTGGCAAACTTTAGATTACCATTTTTCAATAAAAAGAAAGAAGCCGAATCTCATTGCTGGTTCTGTGAATCCAGTGGTTGGGAGACACTCTCGTCGTTACTTCATTAGCAGAGGCATTAACACATGACCCGGACACGAGCCAGGCGCGAAAAAGCAGCCTTCGTTTTCTGCTTGTTCTTCTCGTCAGACACGCCCACCCTATCATGATAACATCTTGTCCATAATGGTCTGAGTGTTCGCTGGTAGTATCAGAAAACAGCTGGCTACGCAATATGAAGCACGTTCATCTTCTCCCCAAAAGATAAGAAGTGGCCCGATGTACGGTAACAGCAGAGCACTCGCAGCACGCAGATACACAGACAATCGTTTTCGGCTCTGCCAGCCTCTACCGAGTTTGCTCATTCCCAATCTAGTTGTCATTTTTGTTCTTCCTCTGATGCTCTTCTATTTACCGTTTTTTCTGGAGATACTGTCGTTTAGAGCCAGTTAAGGGAGGCGCTCTCAGCCAAGACGCGAATATTTACTTTACTATCATATATTGTTACGGCACCCATATAAGCGTGCTGGTGTACATACATCGCAAACTGCCGTGGACACACTGTAGCATCTTCCTGTAGGGGGTGCTTTATACCTCAGAGGAAGATGCCGCTCAATCACAATGGGTATGTGCTATTACCTAGGCAACATCAACACGAGAGCAGTCTGTCACAGTGGTCACAATGATCTTCCTTCGTCATTGCTGCGAACAATATGTCAGCGCTTCCTGATACTTTGCCAGCTGACTGAATTCCGTTATTCTATACAACGAACAGTAGTATTTGCACGACTGATTATTTACGCAGCGTCTGCAGGCCGGGATGGCCTAGCGACATTTGAATGTGAAAAAGCTGTTCCTTACATTTGGAATCTATATAAAGATTTTTGTGTACACTTGTTCCTAGTGAATGACCATGAAGCGGATGTGCCAAAACCCGGCCAAGTCAGGACGACAAGGGCCCACAAGTATAGGTACATGGGCGAAGCTAGAGAAGTTCTAATATATTCATATTAGTGTCGCTATCTTTCATCTTTTGACTGTCGCTTCTACTTCTAAAATGTATTTTACTCGTTTTCTATTTAACGAGTCTCGCTTTACCTTTTACAGCAGGTAGAAAATAATCTAGAGTATCTATATCTGATCGGTCTGAAGGTCATATCAGATAATCCGTGATGCATTGGGATTTAGTAGAAAATTTAATAACTATGAAACGTAACGATGCGATTTATACAACAGTAAATAGATAAAGCATTTCAATCTTTCATTATCGAATCGCAAAGGGCGTTTACCCTTTGCTTAGAGGTTTTAGCATAAGACGCTAGCATAGGCAATCTGTGGCAAGCCCTAATTCTTTATGCATGACAGTGAGCGATACAATGTGGCAATAGCAGCGTCTCTAGCTATTGCCGTTATTAATGGCGTTGTTGCCACAGCCCAGTTGGCCACATACGTAATTTAATATGCGACTAATCGCAATATATATATGGCCTTATCTAACCCATATTTAATCAATGACCTATATCGTTCATCGAGTCGGCTTAGCTCGTATGGTGCATAAACGCCATCCAATCAATTACAACCTAAATAAGCTACCGAATAGGTTGTTCAATGGATTATTGTTACGTACGTGTAGCAGCGAGGCTTTTACCTTACATCTATTTTATGTCAACATAAAATCACTATTTTTTTAATAGTTCAGTTAAATCTTCGCTTGGTAAACTCTAGTATCGTGAAAAAAAAAATATCGTTTTCTTTCCGCCTAAAACCAGTTGCTCGTTTATATCAAACGTTGTTCGCGTGTAGATCATCTAGTGTCTGCTTAGGCCAAAAGTCTACAGAGTCATCCTAATACTCAACATTGGCCTTATTTTTTGTTCTGTTTTTACATTGTAATTTCGATCCGTCATCCGTTATCCCTTCCGATTGTATTCACTTTGAGCAGTAGCATGTACAGAAGCGTCTCAGTGCCGTCGGTCGGGGGTGCAGCAGGAGGTACAACTCGGGCTTGGGACGAACCGCGTCCGCGAGGACTCTTCTCGCACTCCGGATCGGCCAATCCTTCGCCGCGTTCCGTGCGCAGCATAGCCATGTCGGCTCGCAGTTACCGAGACTCGTCAGTAGATAGGTGAGTACATCTATCACAAAGCTTTCGAGCTAGCCATCATCAATATGGGCTTTATATAATAATGCACGAAGTCAGAGTTGAACATAGAACTGTGCTGTATACTGGAATAAACCTCTCTACTAATTATTACTTGGAAATACCTTAAGTTCAAACTGAGTGCCTCCGTCGGAGACTGGCCGAACGAACACTAAATCCTTTTTGCAATCAATCCATTTTTGTTAGGACTAGGTTACGTATGTTGCTTGTGTCTGCGCGTTCGACAGTGTCTGAATACGTTCTTTTAGTTTAGGAATTAACCATTTATTTTTAAGGTTAACGGATTCATTTATATTGCTAATAGAGCGTTCAAGCTTCACTTTTGCTTGTCCTTTTGGACGCGTAAAAACGTAATGAAAAGATGAGAGAGAAAAAACGTTTACTTATGCTATTTCGCACAACACTGCGACGAGACTGCAGCAAATTTCTTTGTCTGCCATCTTGTCCTTCTAAAGGTACGTCTTTTGTTCACGTTGACTGTCTCCATAATCGAGCGAACGTGAGTTTCTCTCCTAAGGAAAAGTAAAAAAAACGATAAGGCTACTTGAAGTGAAATGAAGGGATGTTCGACAGAGAGCATAGATCTGGGTCCTGCCCAGCCCTGAACCATGAGCGTCTTCCGTGCCTTCCGATTTAAACCGTGAAAAGAAAGGGGATCGTCGTTGTTGTAGCGTTCATTATGCATTGTTTGCCTCGACGGTATGTAGTTAACAATGTGCAATGTTCGAGTGCCTCCTTTAACTTGTTCCGCAATGACATGTTTCTTTTCTAAAGGCTCGTTTGTTACTATCGTATAACTGTCGTTACGTTTACAGGCACGCCCCCAATATATCATATATGCAACTGTTTTTAAGTCTAAACGCGGGTGCTGACAAGGCAGATCGTAGATATAGAGCACTGCTTCACTCGATTTATGTATTATCTAGTTAAACAGTATAATTTTCCTTGATTAATTCCGTATTCGGAAATCCACAGTTGGCGATCTAGTTTTGATCGTCGTAGCGGGATAACAATTGTTGTTAAGTCGAATACAGATAATTATGTTCAGTGTCCAGCAGCTGTAATAAACTGAACGTAATATTCGATAAATAATTAGGCTGCATCCAACCCGCTTTTCATTTTTACGGGTGAGGGTACGTCGGTTACAGGGGATGGGTCCTGGCTTAACAATCATCAATAAAATCTGCATATACGCGTATTTGCGCAAGTGCCCTCTGTCAGTAGCTGATTGCTCGCTCAGGCGAACTTTATTGTATTATATATATACACATTGCGCGAAGGGCAAACGCTATTGATCAGTAATGGGTGGATGCTTTTGGCGTTGCGTAGTACGGATCCGTTCGCTTGCCATCGAATACGCTCAAATATACAAGAAGCGTCTGGTCAGTAAGCGACTGACATATCTACGTGCCTTGCAACGGCTTGCCTCGGACCTGCCTGGCAGGGTAAGTTGGCATGCTGCGAAGCCACACCCCCGATTTGGAGCAAACATCAACAAAATGGCCGATAAACCGAAGACCAAAAGCCAGATAGCCTTACTTCCTGCTTTCTCTATAAAAGGACTTCTGGTCCCCTGTTCCTCTCTATTTCCAATCGTATTGGTACGGTCTTTTATGATCAAGCTCGCGTAGTTTACGTGCGTTCACACTTTTTTTTTCTTCTTAACATGCCGCTGAGTTGGCAAGCCGTGCCAGACAGCGGACAAGAGGTCAGAACTAGGCAAGACTACTAGTAAAGTGTTGGCAACAAAGCTGAACGCACAGGCAAGATCCACAGGCCAGCACTCCCTCTGGATCGAGGTGTAGGCACGCGAGCTATCGAGGCGTACTTGTAATAGTGCCAACGATGGTGGTGGCAATGGTATCTAAGACAACTAATCGTAGAAGTCGCTGTAGCCGCATCCGATATCGCTAGTTACTGGCTTCTTCCACGTCTCCATGTATTTGCTATGTCTTTCAACGTCTTTATCTGTATTATAGTTATTTTTTTTCTTTAGCTGTAATCTGCCGACGGCATTAATGAACGGGGGACCTCAGACCCAATAGACAGGACGGGCGTAACCGGATCTCTGTGTGCAACGCTCGTGGACTTCTGACCACGTACAAAGGCCCCGTACTAGAAGAGTACAGTCTGAAGTATATCGACGAATGGCTTTTACGTTCGTGTATTAGATGCATTCTATGGCGATAGATGGATAGCACGCGAGCGAGAATAGCCTTGCCGATAAGGAGACGCGAATATAAATAGCAAAACACAAATTTTTGTATCTAATAAGTAAATTTCGTATTGACGGCTTATGCACGCAGATATGATGCTTGTGCATATGGTGCCAAAAGCTACACAAATGGTGTTCTTCTGCGGTAGTCAGCCTTAGCTGAGCACGATGATCTTACCAGAGCTTATCTGCACTTTATCAAGGATTAAAAAGGGTTCTGTTTGAGTGCGTTCCGCTTTATTCGTACCGGGACATCAAATGAGAAAGCTATATTTCTGGCTGCATACAGTGGACTACTAAGTATTTTTTAGTGAGACTCTGAGAGAAAGCATGCTTTCAAATTAATTTTATTATCATCTCTGCGCAGTATGGACTGTTTTCGGCACCGCAAGAGGCATCGGAGTCGGCACGAGCGTGATAGAAGTGAACAACATGGAAGGTCAGACGCCGAAAGTGAAGTTTCTCGCACATCAAGAAATAGCCGAACTTCGCGCGCGAGCAGTGCTTGCCGCCACAGGTATTTACTGCTCATTGATTGTGTACTGTATGTAAACGTTTATGGGTTTGTTATAAGCTGTGAAAATCCGGTATGTTCTATTATATATATATATATATATATATACAAATATAATAGAACATATCGGATCTTCACAGCTTATAACAAACCCATAAACGTTTACATATATATATATATATATAGGGGCATATTGAAGTGTCAGGTAAGTATTATGACCTAACGCTGCTTTACCAATACATGGCGTCTAATAAAAATGTATCTTATTTTTGCAAACATAACTTGGCTTCTCTCAATTAAGTGAACTCCTCAGTAAGTATTGGTTAGACAGAATAGATAATTCCAACTGTAGTCCACGTTTGCAATTGCAATGCTTACTGGATGGTCCGTTTAAAGAGGGCAACTGTGGCAGCAGCGAGAAGAAATAGGGTTTTCGAAACGTTGAGCCTCACTTACGCTCGCTCATGGGCCGGTGGGACAGAACCCTCTTCTGTTTCCAAAACGCGTTCTATCTGCAGCTCTCCCTTTAACTCAGCCATCAAGCCATCACTTCCTTCTTTTGGAGCCGTTTTCCACGAACGCGAGTCGCAGAGGGCTACTTTAGCATCGTTGCTCTCGGGCCCAGAAAATGAGCCTATAAGAATAGCATATTCATATCTGAGGCAGATGGAAGAAGCTCCAAAAGGGTAGCCACGATGGGTCTGCGTGTAAGAATAAGGCGGATTTGAACGCGCGGTTACAACAAAGAGCCTCCTCGGAGAGGCCTCAGTAGATATTTACAATGAGGGGCTGGCCGTTGTTCAAGAGGCCATGCTGTTATGGTGTAACATAGACGAGGGCCAGATATAAGCTACGCAAACATCACTCCGACCGTGGTCGGGCACCGAAGGCCCTGCTGGGTGGGGCGACTCGCTAGTCTGTCTGGCTAGCACAGCTGTCGTTCAGAGATTCCGTTGCTTCGACAAGCCTAAGTGGCAGCAGACTTAGCTAGAAATTGTTTTCTTTTCTTAGAATAGAATCGGACAGCTCCCTCTGTGCAAAAAGGAGCTGTCCCATTACTTGGTTGGTTGGTCGATCGCCGCATAGCTCCGCAAAGATGAGGTGGAAAAATCAACAGAGGGAGGTGAATGAATAGAAAAAAGGAAAGGGTGATACGAAGATAGAGAGCGGAACCCTGTGAAGTCAGTCTGCGCCCATTGAACGAAGCGGGCAATTCGATGAAACAACATAGTTATGAGAAGAGTACTACGTTCCAGAAGATAGCAAAGCACACGTAAGCACGAGATGGTGACCCGGCAAAACATCGTATACGTGAGAGTTACTGTGTATGTGCTTGGATCCACTTAAGTAACATTGGGGCGCGTCCACACCTTCCGAGTTAGATCCCGTGCACTTTCTGCGTATATTATACTTCTAATTGAAATCAGGCGCCTGCAGATTATCGGAACAACACAAACAGAGCAGAAGAACTAGGAACCCCTTTGACTGACCATAAAAAGTACCGTTTTGGTCGGATCTGTATATTACCTATTATTGGGCCAATTATGCAGGTTACGTCACTGCGTACAATCTGACGGTTGCGATGCTTAATAATTATATAGGGTGTACGTGAGCTATTGTGGTGTTTCTTCTTTGCTCGATTGTTATGCAAAAAGTCGAGCTTGAAACTGGAGCAAATACCTGTAATAACTGCGTTCGTGTAAGGACTTAGCGTGGCTCCGTGAATTAATAAAGAGCCCTGTTCTCAGTATCTGGCGTAGCTTCCGTCGCCTTGTTTGTACTCCCTCGAGGCGACCTGTTTGAACTCAGCGAATACGTGCGGAAATCGAATATCGTACTGCACGGAGGGTTCGATACATAAAGGAAATTCGCAAGTATTGATTGTTAATTACAAGTTACATAGAGTCATTCAAATTTTACTGTCTTATTTAATAGTAGCCTCAGATCTTATTTCTAGCCATGGCTCATTTCTTCGAGGCTAGCAATTGCTATTTATTAAACTATTGTGGCTCATCACACAGCTAAAAAAACTCGCGCATTAAAAATGTGTAACCACATTTAAATAAAAATGCTATCTAAGCTCAAGCGTATAGAACACGACCCATTTGTTCCATTTGTCCAATGACTGCCGCTTTTACCTACTATTTTCTGATTGTCATTAGGTATTTTAACGATTGGATGCTTCAAACACCGCAAGTCTATGGAGCTTAATGACTGTACGAACACTCGGACTTCGTCTCTTTATTGCCAGCCAGCGGCTTCCTCTACGTCGGCTTGGCATTCTACCGTACTATGTACTAGGCTGGCAGCCGGTCTCGCTTCTCAATCGCGCTTGCAGTTGTTTTCCCTGGCATGAATAAGAGCGCACACGCCAAACTGTGATATACGGATAGCTTTTAGCCAGCGGAAAAGACCACGAGGACAGGCGACATACGAAATGGTCTTTGGCACTGTGTCCGTCTTTTGCGCACCCTCTTGCGTCTGTAGGCCAAACTACGGCAATCTGCATTGTCTACAGTCAGTTAGACTTATGGCCGGAATATGACACAGGTCGTCGTCGTCGCAGGAAGTCTCTCCAGTCAGACAGCACCATCTATTCCGACAGCCAGAAAACGACAGGAAAGCCACGTGATTACCACGAAACCGATGGCAGGCGACACCTCTCTTTTGGTGTTATCTCGCGCTTTCGCAGTGGCTCACACAGGCAGACATTCATGTGCGTCTCGTGCATGAATGCCACGCTCGCTTGTGTAGCAAGGCGGATCTGCGCACGCAGTAAGCACGCGATAGTTAGCCTAGTCGCAAGCGATGGTTGCAGCCTTCATCTACCTTCATAAGCAAGCCTTCCGCAACCGTTCCACTGTTACGGGGGCAGTGGGCTGCGACCATTGGCCTCGTGGCTGGATGATCGCGTGGTCGGTTGATGGTTCAGACGTTGGGTGGAAGCATGCGAAACCGCCCATTAATTCATACCTAGTCTCCGTTTTCTTTCTTTTCCATAAAGTAGGGCTGGTGGTAGATAGTCCCTGATCCACCGTCGCCTTTGAATAGGGCAGGCTAATGATTGCTGAGTCTGCAGTAATACTGCATACAGTGAACGAGACACATAAACACGTCCTGCCTCCGTCGTTCATCCCAGTAGTAGCGGGAACACCACTTGAAAAGCTGGTACAACTGCTACTAACTACTACTATTAAGCGAATCTTTTCCGTCGGATTGGATCCCTAGGTCTGTCCTATTCCCGCATGTTCTACAAGAAATCTAGGAGGGGAAAGACCTAACTTACAGCTCATGGTCTCTATTCGTGCGCCACGTACGTAGTGCTGCAACAGCCGATGCGTCGTGAGTTCGTCAAACCTACTACGTGGGTCTTAACTAACCAAAGGTTCAGACATCAGGGCCTTTCGTGCGAGTTAAGCTAAAATCGTCGAAGCGAGGCAAAAGTCTGCTTAGCGAAGCCACTCAAAGCAGTCATCATTCCCGACACTAGTCGTCCACTCACTAGCAGTGCGCCCACCACTTCAGGCCATCAGCTATACCCAGGCCGACTCGTTACTGCTTGAATCTGTTTCTCATTTAAAGGTACAGCGTGAAGTAGAGCTGTGCTACCTCGCTCCGAAAGATCTATCCTGAACCATATAGTTAGACGATATCCAGGTAGCCTTGGCTATCTCCTGTATGCTTGCGATGCTGAGCGACGAGATGGAAGCATTTTTGTTTAGGGGGCGGGGGCTCAGGAGACTTACAAACGAAGCCATGCATATCGCCGATTTAGGCTCACGCCGTGGTCGACAACTTGTGAGCTATTAGAAAATATTGTCTGAGAAACACTGTTTATATTCAATAGGATTAGCCCGACGTGTCAGAGCACGTGAGGATGCGTCAACATACGTTGGCTGTAACTGTGAGTGTTAGTGTCAGTACGGATGTGTTTACTTCAACGACAATGCGGAGGCTCGGGAAAACCGCTGTAATGCTTGTAGTTGCTTGCTAAGACTTTTGCCGCACACGTGTGATGCACACGTATTCCTATGACATTGTACAATGGGGGGTGGATGTTTGACACAAAATCGCAGAGGCGATGGATGCTAGTCCGACAAATGGATGTTTGCTTTCTGTTTACGCATGCTTTGAAGATTCTCTTGTCATTTTGGTCGATCCTTTATATAACAGAACGCTCCTTCATAAAGTAGCTTCATCGTGAGGTTTGGCAGAGTTTTGATGTTGCTCGGTATGAGGGTTAGACGAAGACGACAGTTCAAGGAGGTCGGCCAAACGGAGTAAAAAAAGCATTTGCCATCTCGTTTAGGGGTTTCCGACTTTCCGCTATGGCTATGAATAACAAGAAGCGCAGACGGCGGTACGATGTTGATGGGAAGAGGCAGTCGTTTGACTGCTGCGAATGCCGACGAAAGCGAGGTTTTCAGGCGGACTAGAGAACAGCCTCTACACGAAAGAGCCTTAGCATATGACTCCGGAAGAATAGATCCACTTCCCTCTTTCAAGAACACCACCGACCGAGAGTGCCTCGCATCGTATAATACGTACTGGTAATAGTGGCGGTGGAAATCGTCGCACATACACATACGCCAAGTATAATCGTAGCGGTCGCACAACAAAGGTATAACGAAGTGCGCAGTCGTTTGCGCTTTTGCCGATCTGAAGACCCGTGCATGAACTGTTTATAGATCGTAGGGAGATTTCGCGCATATGTCTCCTTGCCATGACTTGTTTGTCACGAGTGTGACAATGACGAACAGCAGCACTTAAGTTCTCGAGAAGTTATCCTGATTAAATGCGGCATTCCCGTTTTCATATCTTATATTTATCATACCTGGCTCTTCCCTCGTAATTGGGGTTGCCATTTGGATTTGTTCAGTTAAATCGAAATAACCATATATCTCTATAGAATTTCATACGTTTTGCGGTACGTTTATAAACAGCTATAGATCTGTGTAAATCGTATGTATCCACATGATCGAGTAATATCGGTACTCGTACTTGTGGTAAATTTGAACATTAGCTACTTGTAGCTGGATAGATGATTCATAGCCCCCCCCCCCCCTATGTTAAGGGGTAATTCCTGACATCAGTCAAGGGTATTGAAACAGGTGCCTTGTTCCAAAACGATCGTGTCCTGAATTGAAGAGAATTATAGGGTAGTAAACAAGTTCTAGCCGCTTGAGAAAATAATTTTCGAAAAAAAAATAATTTTCTTGTCATAATGATAAAACTACGCATACCCTTTCCGTAGGCGCGTACACCTTTTTCATACGTTTTGTTAAAGTAATCTAGGTAAGCAATCCGGTTATAACCGGTTACGTACGTCGTTCCAGCCTGCCATGCTCCTTATATCTACCATGAAACCATAAGCACTACGGAATGGCCTTTCCTAGAAACGAAAATATGAAAAGGTGCCTTCATCATAAAACATATGGACAAAGACCAACTCTATATACAATTCAAAGATTACATGCTCCATCTAACGGTTTTTAATTGTTTCGATTTTTGTATGTATCCGCTTAACAGCAGTTACCACTCACGTAGCGAGGTGTCCGGAAGTGAATGTGAGAGCGTTCTTCGTCATTCGGGGCATCGACACCGGCAGCCTAATCATCAAAGCAATGGAAACACGTCACATCGAGGCAGTGCCCTCGAACTGGTGGACAGCCAACCCCAGTGGCTCGAAAGTCAAAAGCGAAGACAGCAGCATCACCAGGCGCTGAACAGCTCCATCTCGTATGTCCCTCAATATCATAATTTGAATCCGCAGAATACATGGATAGGCTCAGACAGCCCTGCCCAGGTTATTTTCCTATGTGGATTTAGAGGAAATTAAGATATATGTACGCGTTCGGCGCATTCCGTCTCAAAGAAGTGTCTTTGCGTACTTTTCGAGCGTGCAAAACCCACGTTACTCAAGCGTAGTTGTTCAAAGGTCTTCATAGTAATAGTCATCAGCAATATCCTTGTCGGCTCAAAACACTAGATAACAGTATCAGACTTAATGAAACTGTAAAGTAATTAGTATCAATACGGAATCAACTGTCAGCAGGGCCCAATATAAGTATGCCCAGTGTGTAACCTCTGATTGCTCTATAAGTAATCGTTTATACAAATAACGTTTGTTTTCCAACCCCTAGCTAATCCGAAACTCATTTCGTAGACACACGCAAGTTAAGAGGAATACGAACTAGCTTTGGTAAATTATGTCAATCAAATCTAGTTTATGTTACCTCAGTGATTGTCAGCAGTAACTATTAACAATAATCTTCGTGAGCGAAAAGACCAGAAGAAAATCAACTGTCAGTTTTTGTTTTGCGCTGAGGCTTGGTTTTCATACGATAGTAGAAGAAATACAGTAATACTTTTTCATTAAAGCACTCCTGGGGGTTTATGCCACGCCGCCTTACTACGTCATAGATACAGCTCCCACTAGCGTCGCATTCAATCGAATTAATGCTTCCGGGTATTCCGGCTATGGCCTATTAGTTTGCCAGAACGAGAATGCAGTGCGCCGTTATGTGGAAGAAGGCGCAAAGTCAAAGACTATCCCGAGTAATCCTGCAGACTGTTACAATAGAAGGTAGTGGCGACTACTGGCTGAAGCCGTTCTGCACCAAACCGACCACATACGTCTGAGCAGGCAATGCATTGCCTCCATTGCTAACGGTAGCAGCAGAAGCAACTAAACCTAAGCCCTCAACCGTTTGTATCCCTAACTTCGATGTGCCGTTTTCGTCTCTAGTTGAGACCCCAATTTCGGCCTTGCTTTTACCTGTTAGTTGCTGCTACTAAACGAACCGAATCAGTCGCAATGTGCCAGTCAAGAGGCCGTGCCGAATCTTCGTACCCCACGACGAGCTGCTTCCGCATGCAGAGCACAATAGAGAGAAAAGCATAGAGTGGTGCAGGATACGACGGTCCTCGCAGAACGCAACGAGACCGAAAGCTCAAGTGGAACAGGCGCATGCGGCTCATAGACCATCGGCGAGGGAACAGTTATACGCACGTAAGCAGAACTTGTTGGACTGCCATGTGAAAGCTCTGACTATGAAAAAAGCAGGCAAACGGAAAGAAAATGTAGGTACAATGCCGGTGAGGGAGGACAGACGCTGAGTTGGTCAGTTTAGACATGAAACAAATACTCTGCGGAAAATCTGCAGGCCAGATGGATCAGACGAACGGGATGCAAAGAGTTAAGAGAGGAGAGGAAAAAGGCCACGAAGATAAAAAGGAAGCCATTCTGGCAGCTACAGTCAAGATACATACTGCTTGCTGATAGAAGCGTTCGCTTAGGTACCGATTGCGACAGAGTTCTGTAGCAGTGCTTGTGGCAGTGGTTTGTAGCGACGCCTGTGGCAATAACCTTAGCGGTGCCTGTGACAGTGGCCTGTAGAGGTGCCTGTATTAGTGGCCTGCTGCAAGCGTAGTAAAAGTCAATAGTAGTCAGGGCACTATTGGCTGAGCTGGAGTCGATAAGTTTGGGCGGAGAGGTGGCAGCGCAAGGAACTGGCGCCGAAGCAGAGGTCGGCCTGCGAGGCAAACTAGCCTTTAAATGTGGCGAGCTACACAGACTCGCACGAAGAGAGGAAATGATAAGTAGAGAGTAGGAGAGGAAACGCGGAGGAAACCGGGCAGCGAGAAACGAGCGACCACGCATAGGCTATACTGGTATACTCTAATGCAATGAGTACTGCTAAGGAGTGACGCAGCAGGTGGTCGCAACGTGAATCGTAATACGTTTATTCTGCATTAACATCATTACGCAAGTAGATGGCTAGAGAGAGGTGCACAGCCAGCAAGCGAATCAGGATAGCCGTCATCCGTTTGGCTGCGGTAAAGTGCCTTTATACCTCGTAACACCATCGAACCTTTTAGCTATATATATATATATATATATATAGCTAACTAAGATATTACAATAGTGATTTTGTGATTTGTACCGCAAACTCTGCGCGCCTATAGATATGCGCATAAATGATAACAAGAAGCTCAGAAAGAAGATTATCGCTTGCATATTGCAATTAGCTTTCTAGCCTCTTCTACCGAACAGAAAGGAATGACGAAAACCGTCCATCTAACGAGACAAGCTTTTCCTAGTTTTCTTTCTCTCTCTCTCTCTCTCTCTCTCTCTCTCTTTGAAATAGCTTGAGCGGTTAGCAAAACGTCCTTTTGATTGTCTAAGCTTCGGTCCTTGAATAAAATACTGGTCGTGCACATACAGAGTATAGGACCAGCTCAGCTGGCCCTGGTCAACTACATGGATCCAATTGATGCTAGTGACTATCTGCTACTGCAGTGTGTAGCAGCAGCACTGATGATCGTTTCACTAACGTACCAAGAAAACAGCTTACTCATCATACTAGTAGCATTAATCTTTAATAACATCTTTAATAATTAATAATAATAAGCGCCTTAGAGTAAGTCGCTGCATAATGTCAAAAACCTCCATATTTTTTTATTAAACAACGGTATCGGCTCACGTAAAGGTTATTATCAGAATTTTTGTTATTAACCAATAATAAGCATTAACAAAAACGGTTATCGCTTATTTACATTTCAGCTTTTGCCATATATATGTATAAATATATACCATAATAGTATATGACGATGCTGCTTATTTCGAGGTCCGTCGGAATATCTATTTTAGGCCAATGCACTACTCTCTCTTTCAAAAGAAGCGAGCTAACCATTATTGTGGAGATTCAAGCGTGGAATAGATCTGGCCCGGCAGTGACTCCTTTTGGCCAGTTTCTTTACGGCGAGCACAAATGCCTCCTTCGCCCCGTCGTCCTTAAATGCACTCAGGCACCCATGACCGGTCCTTCATGCTCCAACACAGTTCCCAGTTTGTTCGTTGATTCCTTCGACGCTTGCCTGTTCCGTACACTGCTTTCCTTGCGGTGGTGATTTGCTGGACTGAGGAAGGATCTTGATGATGAGCTATCATCCGCCTTTCTCAACGGTATCGGCAGCGTGCTTCTTAGAACGCGCCTCTAAGGATAATATGGCAGTAGGATGTAATGCAGCACACGCTGATGGTCTCTTATTGTCCCCACGGTTTGGTCGGCGGGGAGCACCGACAGTCGGGGGTGTAGACACTAGCGTTGAGGATAGATCTTTTGGCATTAGTGGTAGCATTAGCATCAGCTCATGTCTTCTGAAAACGGCTAACGGCCTATGATGGGGTAGAACCTGTTACATGCAATGGGTGGATCTCCTTCAGAACAGCTTAGGGCGACAGGCGCGTAAAGCGGTGCCGACTATCATGATAACGAAGGCAGCGACAAGGAAAATGGCAACGCTAAAGCTGCTGCAGGCACACAACGCCTGACACGGCCAAAGAAGGCAATCGTCCAACTCTGGCTTCAATCAAAAATACGTGCATTTTTCTCTGGATGTGTTCATCTTACTTTTCTAAAAGAACAAAACTATCGACTAGCGCTTATCGCTGTCTATTATATATACATAGGTACGATAAACGTGTGACAGGTTCATTACGAAACTTGCGGTTGTGTCGTTTTGCCTCGCTTTCTTGTCACTGACATTTATCCCCTGCCGTATCCAGGCGCTCGACAAGTACCTCATGGCAATAATAGCCACGAAAGAATCTTAGGTGTTCCTGCACGAATAACTTAAGGAAAAACGACTCAACCAATTTGATTAGGTCATATATGCGGAATATTTTTGTATATATAGGAAGTGTATCCTATAGAGAGAAATGTCTATCTATTCACTGCAGCATATAGTGGATGTTTGTTGAAAATTGACGTCGAACATGTAATACGTTTCTTGCTGACAGTTGTTTATTCGTTGTTTGTTGTGATGAAACACCTTAAACGATACGCATATTACTGCAGATCTCCACAAAGTGCCGTTGTGCGTTCGTTAACGAGCTCTGGCGGAGCAGATGGTAGTGAGAGCTCGTCAAAACCTCGTTGTAGCGGTTACGTGCAATCGGGCGTGGAGACGGAAAGCGAAGCCGTGTTCAGCGCAGGTTCATCGTCCAGAAAAAGGCACCGCAAACATCGTTCGAAAAGTCCTGGCCGTCGTGAGAACCTCATACCTCATGAGGTACGTCGACTTATCGAATATAACATGCTCGAACCTCAATTGGCCGGTCCGAACGGTGCTCCTGTGGACGACATTAAATACACAAAAGTCGAGACCGATTCTCGCTTGTTCAGGATAAGGTGAGTAGCACCAGGATAATATCTATTAATAATCATCAGTACGCATATCCTACGGGAAGCTTCTCATGTTAATCGCTGCAATTAGAAACTCTACATTATTTCGTCCTAATTTACCTTTTTATCCGCATCTATAAAAGATGACACTCGATCAAGTAGTCGATCCGGCTATGTCAAGAAAATATTTTAAAAGAATTAAATAGGGCATTCCCGATCGCCAGGTCCGAGGGCAACTGTTATATCTACTTCATACCAAAAATTGCCAATTCCTGGTTTATTTCTGGTGAAAAACATTCGCTAGAAGCAAAACAGTCAGTCATACAATACAATAGTTAGTGACAAGACCAATGACTGAGTGGCCTTTCCCCACCCATAGCGCTTTTTGTCGATCCCCGATGGCCCAATGGTCGATCGCTCTATGACGAAACATTTTCGCAGAACTGCAGTATCGTCATTCTATTTCAAAGCTACGGAACGTTCGTGGGGTCATGTCTGAGCGTTTCGTTTTCGCCGGGCCCCGCTTTTTGTTCCGCGGCCTCTGACAGGTGACAGGTGCACTCTGTGCTTTTGTCGGTTAGTTAAACATGTTTCATATGGTGAATCCTCCGCCGGGTAAGGGTGGGCAGAAGTTTTACGGAACGTGGAACCCTAGATAGAAATGAGTGTCTGCAACATTTGGATAGACTCGGCGTCACATTTACCTCAAACGGGGTCGAAATTAGTGCTTACAAATTAAAATGGCTATGGATCGTCACTATACGGGTTGAACTTCAAAGGAGTTAACGCTTTTTTGCGCGGAAGATGAACACGTTTTATCATGTAATGGCTTTCTCTTCGTTATTTGATCCCGGCGAAACACGGTTTGGCGAGATGAATCAGGATCCCTGAACTCTCTACTCCTCCTTGGTGTTCTCCGAGTGAGCCTGGAAGAAATTCGAGTAAGGATCCATGTAGATTCGGGAATTTTTAAGCCGATCCTTCGCGATCTCCTTTCTAATTGTGGTCATCGCCTAATGTTACTGTACCTGCGAGATTTATTTAGCATTTTATAAGTATGATTTTAGTCGTGGTCTTTGGTAAATTCAAACAGGTGGGGCATACACGAGGTTTTTGGACGCAGAGGTACCTCGATCAATTATAATTCACATGCATGTTTGCGAATCAAATCAACATTTACTTCTGATAGCTTTTTTATATATATATCTCGTATCCCCTCGCAGACGTTTTTTCACACTTGCTCAATATTCAACAGAAAATTTTGTTGTTGCAAAAAAAAAAGCAGATTTTTCACTTAAATTAACAATTACGGCTCTTTTTTTGTTCCTGCTTTAGATATAACGAAAACTCTCAACGACGTGCCAAGGTGGCCGTCGTTAAGAATCAAAACCCAGAAACGGGGTCGTCGCACTCGAAGCGGTCTGTCTGCTCCCAGGGGCCAAATAGTGTGGGGCATCAGTCAAGCCATAGCCAGTTAAATTACAGACAGCAATTGAAAGAAGGTCCAGGTGGCGTTTCGTCACCGAGCAATGTGAGCTCGTCCCATCACCACGCTTCGCAAACGCGCTTACATCATTCGACGCCCCCGCCACCGTATCAGCATAACCATAGCCATCAACAACAAGCACAGCATTTTCAATCGTACCAAAATGAACATACAGCAGGTTAGTTGAGCAGAGATAATTTCAAGCTAAGAAACCAAATGATAACGTAGAATAAATAATCATATCAGATCTCCGTTGGGTGCGTCCAGTGTTTTTCAATGCTCCTATGTATGGGTTCCGAATGGTCAATTTTAAGCATTGACGGAACAGTCTACACGCGATCGAAGGCCATTTCATTCATTACCCACTGTCTTATACAGACTGGAAACCCTTTGATTGGTTGAATATAGACCTAACTATTACTCCCTATTATTAATGATTACATTTTAACTTAGGCTTCCCGCTTCCTACCTTTTAGTTAAGTGCGAGTGTCTCATAGAGAGCAGATAATTAATTGCTCCGTGCTACATCTCGTTATTATAGCAGCTTGACAAAAACTGACGCAATTGCGACACAGAGAAGTTCTATACCTGCTCTGCATTTGGCTCTCTCCATCATTATCCGCGTACCTTTATAGTAATTTCATTTGTGACGAAGTACTCGCCAGGAAGCAGTTGTGAGAAGCGCATCCTCAATAGTTCATGGTATAGGAAACGATGCGGCAGTTTGATTTGGAAGAACAGAGTTCTTGCTGCCCCGGTGGGCTTTGTTTATTTGTTTGCGGTCTCGTCATTGGTTGCATGTAGAACGACCGACATTAGCTTAAATCACCTCCGGAAATAAACAAATCTAATCAAAAAACTAAAAAGCCGTTTAATATTGAACGTTTATTTGAAATTGGGCCTAATTTTTTTGCCCGCACGAACATTATAATGATGTGAGCTTTTTGGCTGACAGGTATAATGATATCGTGATCAGAAGAGTACCAACTTATATTTGTATATCATAAAAATAAAAGATCATAACGGTAGATCGCTTTAGATAGTAAGCTATTAAGTTACTTTCGAGTGTGGTATCTCTAGGTTTAGTTAGTTTTTATCTTTAGCATCTTTAGGGCTCAGAATATGGCTACGTGCAAGTAATTATCCCTTCAATATGTATGCATTGGCCTGCCACATTACGTAATCATATCTCCTTGTTCGGAACAACAGGCTAAGGTTGACCAGCTAAGCGCGGACAAAATCATTTCTTGGTGCAGTAACTGGAAGAACAGCGATAACACTTGCTGTAGCTTTAGCAATAGCACAACCTTTTGACTCACTTCCATTGTGCATTTATGTGCGTCCATGTTTTTTGCATGGGTTTTGGGCACTTTCGTTTTTCGTCCCCAGGCCTCCCGGAGGTGGCATCGAGAACAAAAAGCGAGGACAATCTTGGCGATCATGTGGCCGGAACACCGGGCACGCCTAGTGCGCCCCCTACGCCAAGTTCTGAGATCAACGGGTGGAAACCCTCGAGGCAAGTTGACAGCAAGCCAAAAACATCACAGCAAAAGCACAGGACGAGTACGGCCTTCACCAGCATCATCGACTATTCTCTGGGGAAAGGATGATGTCCTTTTCGCAGGCTTGTGTTCGACCGGAATGGATCTGCTACAATTATTTTTAATAGCGGTTCTGCGTCTGTCTATTCTTCGACCGCCAATGGCGCCTTCTATCGAACCTAATGATTTATGCATGGATGGATGCTTTTGGATTACTGCACACAGCAGTAAATTCTGTATATGGAAAATGCCTGAGGTTTACCAATGTTATTTACAATGTATCGATATACCCTAACGATTGGGTATGGGTTTGTTGTGCCAATTCTTTACTGACTAACGTGAGCAATGCAAACGATTGTTCGACGGCATGGGATGTTACTGGCTTGTGTGATTGTTTCTAAAAGGCGGTCTTTTCCATTCTACCCTATCATACTTACTTGTTCTATGGGAATGTAATACGGCCAAAGGATACAGCTTCATTTAATCCCAACTCTTTTTTTTGGTTGGTAATATTTCATCATTGTGTTAACGAACGATACTGTCATCTAACGCGCATGACTAACAATCTATCCAGGCCTCATAACCATCAATCAACCGAGAACCACCTACAATCATATCATCAATATCACAGCATCCAGAACGGCCAAAGCAGTAACTTCCCAGGTTTTCCATCGAACCTTCTGCACGCTTCAAACTCGTATCATTCATTCAACTCGTCCAGGTAAGAAGGGTTGTTGCCATCTTCACTGCAACCTGCATGCCACCCCTCCGGCCTTAGCATGCCCACCGGTTCTACATTTCACCACCTCGTTGTGCAGACAGGTTACACTGTAACAGAACGATGATATAATACGTGCAACCTATTGTATTTCTGGTGCTCCTTTGAAGCCTTGTTAGGTAGCTTATCTGATTACGTAGGCACTCGTAGATTAGTACGGGCGTTTCTTTTTTGCTTGAACGTTCCTAGACACTTAGAAATTCGCTATTGGGTTGTTGCCAATTTTCGTAATGCCTTGCTTTGAAATACAGTTGAACGATGAAATACGCTGCCCAGCATGCTTAGACGCATTTCTGCTGACTGGGTTTCAAGCAGCTAGCGATCATGTAAGATATAAAATATTTGTCTAAACGCAGAATATTGATTGTTCCCTGTCTGTTGCGAGTACAATGCTAGAATATTTCCTTTATGTTGTCTCGTAGATTATGTGGTTTGTATCTAATACATCTATTCGAGTACCATTATCAGCTCGTCCTTGCTCTCAACTTTGGCTATTAAAACGTTTCGTTACGCCAGACTCATCCACATCGTATTCCTGACACGCGTTCGCTAATTCCCTCGGCCTGTCACCGAAACAGCCTGCGGGCGTATTCCAAGTCAAAATAAATGCCTGCATCTAATCTCGAGAGCATGCGTTACCCATCGACAATGATGATGACGGTCGCGATGATTACGAGGAGGCTAGATATAAGACCATTTACGACGGTGTGTAAACGTCTGTCTGAGAATGTTCACGTCAATTTCACTAACGTCAGCTTGCTTTACACTCTTTTTCTCTATTTCTGCGTGCGTCTGCTAACTTCACTTATGGTGCTTCTGCTGTTGCGGTTATATCGCCATTTTGTTCCCCTGTCCATCATACAACGCCATGAATACGGTGCCATTTGACGGCTTTTGCTCTCACCTCGATCTACATCGTTTATATGGCAAAGAAGAACCCCTCAGCAGACGGTGATCCACCGAGAGGTGGTCGGCGACCTGATTGGTCCACCTTCGTTGCTCTCGTCGCCTCAAATGACTCCCGTGTCATCCGGTTACCACTCAGCCGCTACGACGTCAACCTCGCCTGTCGTTCCACCCAGGCTACCAAAACACAACTCCGCTGGGTAAGCAACCCCTGTTTGGTCACTGTAGAAGTTTGCACAGCGCAGCTCATTAGTTGCTCAATTCAACGGTTTTAATGAATAGTCAATTTCAAACGAATATAATTTATATAGTAACATACTGTATATCCAGTAAAACCTGTCTCATAATTAATTCGATTTATTTACCTTTATCATGCGCATATATGTATGTGTTTTAATGACAATTTTTTTATTGTAAACAATTAACTAAAACATACAATTTCATTGCTTTTTATGATATGAATATGAATTTCATTGCATGAGCATGTTAGTAAAGGAGGAATTTTAAGCGCAACATTTAGATATTCTATTCTTAACTAGGCGTTATCGTTTTCGCGTCATCTTTGTACAATAATAAAATCTAGACGCGTTTGGATGGAAACAAGTGGCTCTTCTAATTTATTCGAAAACATTTAGCAAAAGAGTTCCTTTAGCGAAAACAAACCGTTTTCAGACTTCATGAGCCTAAACCGCGATTTAGACGTCTACGTAGCAGATAATGAAGAGAAATTCAGTGAACTTCGATACTGTATTGTCGTCGGACCACCGAGTCCAATTTAAGTGACGTCAGTACCCTGTCAACTCCCCAACTCCGGGCTGTCGGATCTTTGTGGCAACAGCTGTACACCCATACACCCTTTTTGTCCTCGAGCGTATCTCGATAATAGCGAAAATAACGGACTGCTGTGACACGATAATGAAAATCCAAATAGTACCTCAAGCGTCTCTACACTGTGATGATCGTAAAAGGCATTCCCGGCTACCATAAAACATTTTTTTTTTGAACAAGTCACATCTTTATATATTCCGAACGTGACAAGATCTCTAGTAGCCGATATATGCCGACCTCCAACTGTATTTGGAAAACAAACCACCGAACCTATAATGGCCCCTCATTAGAGCTCATTGGATTTCATGTTTGGCGCTCATGCTATGAAACAATTCTCACTTGATATTTATGTCAGTCCGGGCTAAGAAAAATTTAATAGCGTCTTACCATAACGACCCAAAGCACATACATGCAACAGACCAATATGTGATAGTGGCAAACTTGGAACAAACTGTGCTAGTTTTTACTAGCTATACGCATGAAGCAATGGGTAAAGAAGAACAGTCTATAAGCAGCGAAGTCAGTCACTCGTTGGATTGCCCTTTTTGTTCCTCTATCTCCCGTAGGTCTTCTCTAGCCTCGCCGTCTGATCTCGAGGGTCACCTCGTTTCCTTTGCTGCCTTACGCAACTTTGCTCTCTTAGAGCTGGTTCTGCTGCGTCGCTGGACTGGACTAGGAAGTACCGCAGTAAATCTTAGTCTTCCTCGTTTTCAGCTTCACAGGCTTTTACTCCCTATTGAGTTTTACACTTCAAGCCTTGGTCCTGTGCCTCTTTTACCACCCTCCATCTGCCCCAAGTTCCTTCGTTAAGAACACATATATATATCCTCTTATACATACACATATATATATACTAGTCAGTCGGTAAGGGAAAAATAGGGCTTTCACAGCTTAGCTGCAATCGATTTCGTTACTTAAACGGTAGGTTGTGCTGGACAAAGTCTGCAATGGCCATTCAGCAGCCGACAATCACCCAATCAGAGATGTCGGTTTGACTCCTTGGTGAAATTTGTTCAGTGAATTGGGAGAGTTCTAGTGGGATACGGTCGCTGCCGCTGAACTTTGCAATAGCGGTGCTGAGTTCATTCCACCGGGATTTTACCCCATCGTACGTTTTCACCTTAAACGCGTCATGTCTTTGGCGTGTTCTTCTCAGCTTTTGCTGTCCGACATTAAACACATTTATTTGACTTCATCAGCCTCTTACTGTCTCGGTTCGCTTCACTGTATTTTGTATAGTAGCTAGTCCTAGGCCATGTCGGCTACTCCTTACCATTGGTTACGCACTAGAAACGCACGTATCGCGGTAACGGCCACATGTATCCCGCCTTCAATCTAACACCAAGTAAATTGCCCCAGGCCCATCACAGGCAGTTAAACATTAGACGCGTGTTAACTTGGCTGTAAGTAATTCAACGTAATTTCGTTTGACACCGCCACTTGTCGCCAACGCTGGCTGTGTAGTAAGTAGTAACATTTACGTGTGCGTCTATTCACGTGAGTTCTCGCTACATTTAACGTTTTCCTTCGCTGCGTCCTGCTCTCTGTCTATGTTGTGCTTTCAGCTCGACGACGTCTGGTTCGTCCGGCAGCGCTATGCGAGTGACATTTCAAAATCCCCCCGTCAGTCAACCTCCAGTCCACACACCTACCCCTCCGCTTGCAAAGGTAACCAACGTGCCAGCCCATCACGCTATGGCGTCGCCCACTGGCAGTTCGACTCACCAGTGGCAACCCCCGCATCAGCCCGTGGGAAGTGTCATCACCGCGTGACGCCAATTCTACGTGGCTTGATATGACCTCTGTGACCTTGTTACATGCAGATACGGCCAGCTTTTACCTGTACAATTCAGTCGAGCAGAAAAAATCTACCGAATCAACCGTCTCTCTGACATTGACTGTTGTTGAATAAGTTTTATTTGCCAAAGGTTTGAGTTCGTTTTGTTTTAGTTTTATTTGATTTTAATACATTTGTAATATTCTGCATTTTCGTTATTAGAGCCCTGTCTTTTGCCTCTTTTTCTTAGGGGGGAACAAGGGCTTGGGTCAATCTTTATTGCTTTAAATATACACGGTTAACCTTAGTTGATGTGTGCAGCAATGTATTTTTAGCAAACTGTCCCCCGTTGGCTAACTATTCTTTCTAGCTAGTTCATCCTTTGATCATCTCGTTCACGTTCTTATCGTTCTACAATAACGGATTTAACTCGACAACCGCAGCTTGATTCGCGGACTGTGCTGTTAGCCTCGAATTGACTCTAACAGGGGGGAAAAGGGCACTAGCTGAACAAAGAACTTTAGGTTGTGTTATCATTCTGATTTTGTCACCTGATGCGACACTCAAAATTTCCTAACTTGATTTTAAAAATATTGTTGTCGGTTTTTTTATGAAGGTCGATAGAAAAATTGTCATCTGGATTTATTTCGTGTATTCTGTGAGGTAAATATTAACCAGTAATCACTTACCGTCTTTTATCGTTTTCGTCTCATCTAGTTACCGTCGACAGGATCGTTGCCTCGCGCGCACAACCCAATTCCGGTAGCTCCTCCAACGTTACCATCCCCTTCTCCTTTGGCCTCGATTGCCACAGTCGCTTCGCCAACGGGAAACAACTCTGTAATAAATTCACCGCAACTCGTTCTCAGGACATTTCAGCCGCTGAAAAAGTCTGCATGTTGAGCATCGGTCGGTCACAGAAAACGGATTAGTTCTGTTTGATGCTACCGGAATCAATTCGACGCGCTAAGGAACAGGTTTTGTTATGTACTACTATCCGACAATAACAACCCGTGCTACGCACGACAGCAAGAAGAACAACGTCAGTTCTATAAGTTTATATATACATATATACACACCGAAGGCAAGGAGTACACAGGACAGGGACAATGAATCGTAAATTTGAGTGGTAAAATGCTTGCGTGTTGAGTGTAATTCGTGTGTCTAACAAATAACTGGGACTACTGAGAACAACATTTAAGGGTCGCGTGAGAATAGACGTGTGATGGAGGTAGAAACTTAAAGATCGAAGAAACAATTTCTGATAGATAATCCTGAAAGTCCCAGATATTGGCTTTATATTCACGGAACAAGGCCAAACACGTATGTCTCGCTCATGCGAGTTTATCGGATAGGTAACAAGTGACAACCGCATAGCACAGTCTAATATATAAGCGAATGTCTAAGATTACCACGACCAAGGTCTATATATATATATATATATATACCTTGGTCGCTATTATATGACGCCGGCAGGATGATGTACGAGAGGACTATGAGCCTACCAGAGCTATGATACGACATTAATACTCATCATTTTCTCTTCATCATTTGTGTGTATTTATACGTAATGGAAGACGCATAAAAACAACCGAAACTAGAGAACATCAACACTTGTAGATACATGGCTATTATTGTTTATAAAAAAAACTGAAATTTCCACTGAAGATCTGTTCCGGTAAACGACGACCCAGTTCGTAGAAGCACAAAGCTTTTGTGTACGGCCGAATTGAATTATACTGATTGGAATATAGTAGCAATAAGGGTTAACTAAGACGCTATCGATACAATATCGTAGCCGTTAGTTTACACAGTTTATGATCATTCGTTTGGATTAGTTTAGTAAAAAGAAGGAAAGCAAAGCAGACGCTATTCACAGAAGATAGGTTGCTACGGACAGCAGTTAGTGTTAAACTGAGATGTCAAAAATAACCTCCATACTAGAGTATGTTTAATTGATCAGTAGAAACGAAGACGATATATAGGCAGGCTCTTTCTTGCCTGGCTTGAGTCGCACCGAACAATGAGTTTGCGAGACTTTCCTCATTGTACACCGCTATTAGGTGGGCACCATGGTGACGATTCGTGCCGAAAAATGTTTACCAACGATGACGGCTGCTGGCTGTGCTGATGAATGATGAAGGTTCTAATTGTATTATTAATAGATAGATTAAATAAATATTACGTGCGTCTGAGTCATTAAGGCTATTTGTTATTTTTGCAACCCTTAATGCTAATGATCATTAGTCCTTATAACGTGATGAACTTTTTATTCATCTACGATCACTTGTTACTAGTTCGCAGAGACGCAGCACGAACACGAACGCGAACGAAACACGAAAAATTCTATGTCGAATATAAAATTTTGTAACTTTCAGTGCAATTTCATAGAACAATAAAAGCGAAAAATGTTACCTTTACATTTTTTAGGCTAGTTAAGCAGAGTATTAAGTTCGAGCAACATGTTAATCACCTAGCATAAGGCTTCATATCTTTTTGAGACGCTGTTTTCGTCGTTCGCTTCATTTTGAAGCAGTTGACACGGTAGGTACACCTCAGTGATGCTCTGTCCCAAACATACACACTGTCTTTTTTTTTCATTACTCATAATTTAACGTTTGATCCAATGTGCTTTAGTATTACTATCCCTACTATTGTTTGGCTGTATCTTCGGATTGTGTGGATCAGATAGAAAGCGAACCAGAAGCTTGCTGAAGGTCATTTACATTTGCTGCCATCAGGGTGCCTACTATAATTTAAGTTTCTCTAAATGCCACAGAAGGCCAATTTACCAAGATCACAGATCGTACAAAGTCTATTTGTAAAAACCCTGTAGGTCATTGGAAAATTGCTTTCTTCATTCACGCGAAGTTAAGCTATAGACTGTTGCTCCCTTTCAGTCAGAGGTTGGTCCCTTCGGACGCTAGGAAAACATAGAACATGTTTCTTTGCTTTTCCGAGTAGCCGCAATGGTATATCTTTTGTTCTTCAGTTATATATTCTATTCAGGTTTAATTACGTGTTCTTTAGGATACATCTATTAAGTCTGTTATGTATGACTTTCAAACATTCCCAACAAAAGCGATTCAGGCTATATCATGGCCCGTTTTTAGTTTGTTTGGAACACACCAATAATACGGAAACACTAGAACTGGAAATTGCTGTTATTTTAACCATGATACTAGTCTCTGGCAATGAATGATCCGCCGTCGGTTGGCCCTACCGAATTCGACGGTCTGTCGTCCATCCTTGTCGTGCATCGAGTCTGAACACAGTTGCTAGCTTACCTTCTATTCAGGTTGTGGCGGCCATTATGCCGCTTCTGATGCACCTTACCATTGTGAAATGGATAAATTGAGTGCTGATGTGGGCCGACTTGAATAAAAAGAAGGGTTGATGAGGAACAGATAACAAAGACTGCGTTGCAAGTCAAGGCTTATTCGACTTTCGATCCGATACGAAGAGCACTCTTGCGTGCCGAACCAGACGAGAAGAAACTTGCGGGAGGGTTCCGCTGACTGAAAACTTGTTGGGTCGGCAAAGGCCTCAAATGGAAGTTGTTCTACTGGGAATCTCACCAGGTGAGAGCTTGCCAAAACGCGCGCGTTAGGTTTTGGCTAACGCAGCTCCCAAGCAACGTTGACTACTTGTAGCAACGATTCCTATTCAGCTCTCCCAGAGAAAGACAGAAACAGCATATTGGGTCTTCACAAAGGAGTTACGACATAGTGATCTTTGCGGCCATTTCCCTTATCGACGCTGGGTAGATGGTTAAGCTAGTCGCTGTTTAGCGTTGCGTTCAAAATCAGGACCGAGAGCTGAAATCAGAAAGCGGTCGAATCAGCGCCAGAAGGTGAAGGCAGAGAGGGCCTGCTGAATGTCTGTGCCCTAAAGCATGCCATGGGATGGTGCCTGGCTGCTTGGACGCCTAAATTTAACTTGCATTTGGATACACTTGCAGGCACACGCACACACACAGACACGCATTCACAGTAATATATGAACAGACATACAATGCTGGAGATATAGGCATCTAGATATACTGAGAAAAAGGTCCTGTCAGAAGCTGTAACATAAATAAGGCGGCATGGAAATAGGCGGTTTCCTGGTTATATTGATTTGCCCCTTTGAGCTCCCTGGGCTGTCTCCGTCCGCTGTTCTACCGCATTTGCTACTCTTTCCCATAGGCGGGTCGCAGAATTCGTCGCTTTCGCCGTGCCTGCTACTATCGCTTCGTTCGATTTTTGAATTTGGTAGTCCTCATTTGCTCTCGTCCTTATTCCTCCGTAATCGACTCGCGGAATTAAGAGGCTGAGCCAGGCTCAAATCACCTAAACGAGGACAACAAATCTGGGGTGCGAGGTTGGGGGGATTTATTAGGGTAGACGGGCCTGCAAAAGCTGATAGGCGCATATCCATCCGATCCAACTGCAGGAATAAGTTTTGGGCCCAGGCTCGATTGCGACACCGATGTTGTGCAGGCAGTCCCCGTCTGCGGTGGCAAGCGTCACTCGGGAAATCAATTTCTCATCATTACGTTCACGCGTTTTGTATGTCGGACGCCCTCGGACCCGGAACGATCGCACAGATTTATTTCTATATGCACATTCTTCATTCATTCTCAAAAACTGACATTTCTCTATTGTGTCTTCCACCCTACCAATCGACTATTTTGTAGTTACATGAACTGCATTCAGAGGGTATTGTGGAGAATCTTGAGTATCGAACGGAATTGTTTCAAGCTCATTTCGGCTATTACATGCCACTGTGCATGTAGTTATAGCTACTTGCAGAAACGTAATCGTGTCATCTGCCACCGGTCAAAATAGAGTCAAGTCTGAGACTATGTTGACATTTAAATAAGATGTAATTTACTTCAGAGAGACTCGTTGAACGTTATTTCCTCTGTTTAAAAAGTTAGCAAACAGTGCTTTTTTGATGTGTACTAATTAATCTGTGAAAATCTTTATTACTATTAATGTATATTATACTCTTAGGAGTAACCAACGATAGTTGTAAACGTTTTGCTATTAATTCATCACCGATTGATGCAGGGAACTTACCTATACAATGCGCACGTGCCGAAAATAACATTTGTATACTAGAGCAACGTACAGAAAGGGCTAATCTGGGGGTGCCTTTGTACTGGCATATTTGTCAATAGAATTATAACAAAGACAAAAAAAACTCAGTCATCTTTTTACGGACGTTTTAACTGAACTGGGACCGCGTAACAATAGAGGAGGCTTTTAGGTTTTAAATTGTCTTTTTGCATGAAAAACTACTTGTGCTGTCTTGAACGCTACAATCTGCTTGAGTATGCGTGTTCACGGGGCAACTACAGTTGGGCAAAATTGTTTTGTCGTCATAGACAGAACCCGTTAGTTGGGTAAGGTCTGAAAAGAGAAAGGCCATTGGACGAGCTGGTATCTGTTTGATAGACCAAACATGCGGTGAAATTTATTGGCATGACACGAACGACGACAAATTACATTTGCCTTACTGTTCTTTGAATTCGCTTCCTTTGTTTCTAATCCTACCGAAGTAATAAGGATTGAGAACGACGACAATTCTATGTGGCAAAAGTCAAAAACACTGCCGTCATTCTACATATAGTAACTTTATTAAAAATTATTAAGTATATATATATATATTCGTAGCTTTGTAGATTCACAACAGAGATGGGCAAATTACCACCTGAGGCACGTTAAACAATGCCCCAATCTGCAAATAGTGGCATTTTATCTATACATATCTATACACTCGTATATATATATCCTATGGTAAATGAACAAAAATCAGTTGTACATTCAATCAGGACAACGCATATTTTTAGCTACGTAATCAAAACTAGCGACAATATTAGCATCAATTGCGCCATTTAGCCTGTAGATGATCGACTTCGAACTGAGCGTATGGTTTCTGTGGAGAACTCCACCTTCTTTATGTGGCAGGTTAGCATTAGTCAGAAACAGATGCTGATCTCCTTCAATCATCACCTTTTTACAGTATTCGTGAACTGCGAATGTCACTATATCACCAGCTTCGGGGCTTTTTGAATACATTAGATTACTGACCATTACCTGGCAATAGATTGTCCGATGGAAAGCAGAGCAACTGCGGACAGTGCCCACGAACGCAAGATCATGGTTGCAAATATACCCCAAAACAATCTCTCGTCCAGGTTCGATCGTTTGGATCTGCTCTTTAACTTTTGGCCGGAACGGCTCTCTTGAAGGACACGAATTCTGAATACACGTACACATCTTATCCAGCCTTGACCCACTGTTTTGACTAGCGCACTCTACGAGCACTTTCTTGAAACTACGAAGTTCATAGAACGTTGGGCAGTTACCCCCCTTTGTGTAGTAGTCGTACACGCTAACGGTCGCTGGCTGGGCGTTACTAACCGTGAACTCCTGGACCACCCGGAAATCGTAACAGAGCTTCTTCCCTACGGGAAATTCAGTTATGTAAAGGTTCACTCGATCGGGAAGAATTTCAAAGCGGTCAATTTTCAGACGCTGTTGAAGTAACACTAAATCGCCCTTTATCGGCGCGTAACCCGTAATCATGTCAACTTCAATTACGCTCATTCCACTTGGTTCATCACCAAGAACATATGCGCAAACATCGAGACGATAGACCAGCTGATCGGGCCGAATTGAGCGCCGACGACGGGTCTTCTTATATCTCTCTAAAAGCTCATCTACCTTTTGGAGTGCCTGGGTTCTTGCGGAATCGATGATTTGTGATTCCATGTATGGGTCCGAGTCCATATCACTTGCCTCCTCGATCGTCGCGTTTATGGTCACATTAAAAATGCACCGCTCTGCGAGTGGAAGAATCGTGTTGTACTTGATGAGAACAGACAACAGGCCAGTACCACTGCCCGTTGCATGGACGTACATTTTGTCTCCGAGGTCGTTCGTAGTCATCGTTTGCAGAGTCATTGCCGAATCCTCTGCAACGCGCAGATCCCGCTTAAAGTGTTTCCCATGTGAGATAAGGACAGACAGGTCTATCTTGGATTCGCGGTTCTTGGAAAAATACTCCGAAAGTGCCTGAAGAGCGACGACAGTGTCCTGAGTTGATTGGAACCCGCCGGTGGCACCCTGTTGGGTTATTAGCCAGTTCGACAGGGGCAAACTCATATCGTTTCGCTGAGTTTTCGTGGCAGCCAACAAAGCATACCCATTGCCTGGAAAATATTTAGGATCACACGGATTTACTGGGGTTGATCGAAATATATGTGCATAATTTTCAAGTGGTCCTCCGCTGCATGGATAGGGGCTCTTTTTTTTTGAACGAATCAATGCGTTCAGTTAGCTTCCACCTACTATAGCATTTTATGTAAACGGAAGATTTAGAAGGTCTTTGTCAACGTGACTGATGTACATATCTCTTTGTAGTTTCAATATCGATTTATTTTATTTATGAGCCGTGTCTTCATATAGTCATTTATATCAAAGCAGAATTTCCTTAAGATAGGTTTATCATATGCACTTAGTTACCTTCAATCGTTGACGGAGCGTTATCATTTGTTGCGATACTGAAAGTGTTGATCTCTTGGTTCAGAATTAAATGATTGCGTAGATTTGTCATTGCTTGAGATGATACATTCGTGTCTGAGAGAGCGTATGCCATTAACGCAGCCGTATAGCCCTCGTGAGTCTGATCCAATGTACGCATAAGATATAATTTAGCCTGATCAAGAACGCTTCTCCATTTCTGGTGATTTTCCGAACGTCTACAAATGCAATGAAACACAATATTAAATACTTCTAGTAAACTCAATTTATTACCCCACGCCAATGTTTTATCTCCGTATAGAGAGCAGCTCACTCTTTTGAATCTTTAAATCGATAGCGCAAAACGAAGTGCGTGCTCAGGACTAGAGTTGAAAATAATTGATGAAATCGTAAAGAAGAACTTACATATTATGTCGGCATTCATCTAAAGCAAGCGTGACAAAAGCTGTCAACGCTTTTCGACCTTTTACCCCACCGAGCAGACTCTTGTGGAGGATGGGTTTGGTTTCCTCAAACGAGCCTTCACGTCCTTGCTTAGTCAATAGCCAATCCACAGCATCTGCAGAAGCCTCCCGGAACGTCTCCGAATCGGTAAAAAAGGGAGACGCTCGACAAAATACCTTGGCAACAAATGCCGTAAGCCATACACTTGAGCCTCGATTTCGAAAAGCGCTGAACGAACCGTTAGGCTTCCGGAAACCCAGTTGTCGGTTGTACGCTGAAAATGTGTGAATATAGAAAAGAACAATGTTGCAGCATGAGGATCGCCATGTTCTTACATCATCAGACACATCGATTAGAGTATTTCCTGCGTATTAGCTAAAAAAACTAGACTATGTGACTTTATCACGTGGGTGATCTCTGATCGTGGATGGAAGCAACTTTTATTTCATGTCGATACTGTATCGTATTGATGGACGACTCTATATACTAAACACAGCGCGTAGCGAATGCAATCAGGCCTCGTAGCCACTTCAAGTTCAGGCGTATGCGTAGAGAAACTTGTCGTGAAAAAAGCAGTATAAGGCGAAGAAATATCGCTGTACCATCGCGGATATAGTAGCGACTTTGTAACTAGGCTGCTGTATATAAGCGGAGTATTTTTGCTTCTGTTATAATTACTTGTTCGCAATATATACATGGATTAACAACAATAACGTGCGCGTTAGGCGTGCGGTGCATACCCATCATGATGTGGTCCTTCGCGCGTTTTTCTGTAGGGACGTCAAGCTGCTGGATCGCCTTCCGGAACTCGGTAACGAATACAAGGGGCGCAAGCCGCATCATGTTCTGTTCACCACAGCCTTTGGGTAGAGTTAGCATTGATTCAATGTCGTCAAGAGCGGTGACAATTGCGGGACCCATCTTTTCGCCGATGACTCGAAGCGTAGCGTAGTCCGTTCCGTCGACAACATCGTCGGGAAGCGATGTGTCAATGACGATCGTCTGGTTCCGCTGCGACGCGTCAATTTTAGCTGGAGGATAATAGTAAGGATTAAGTAAAGCAATGTCTAAAAGGAAAATTTATAGTACAACATCATATAAAACGATATAATATTCTAAACGATAACGCCAAATGCCGATCTACTGTCGATTCATACTAAAAACTGTAATCTAATAGTTCTTTCCAATCGAAAAATTCGATTCCGTCTTTCCAGTATTGATCGGCGCTAAGAAGATAGAGGAAGATCCTATTGAATTAAGTTCACCTTAACTTGGACGTTTGAGAACAGCACACGCTGAAGGGTCGAAGCTATTCTTACTAAGTGGAGAAAATTTTGTGTGTCCTGCGTTATGCGGTTTGCCCCCGTTGTCAGTGTCACAGTTACACATACGGACAGGCCTCGTCCTGCCATAGAAGGTCTTATGTGCATTTCAAGTCAATTATTAAGTTGTGTTAAATATGACCCGATTATAACAATAGGATGACTCACATTCACAACTCGGTCCACATGTGATACTTCGGGCTTTTCTACGTTGACTGTTCATAGGATCCAACGCCACCGAATACGATTTTCTCACTTCACGACCTTCAGGCTGAAATTAACGTTAGTAAACCACATCTTTGCATTTTAGCTTCAAGGGAAAGATTTATTAAACATCACTTCAGCAGTATTGCTGTAGGTAAAAATCATTAATTGAGGTAGCAATGTGTCATGCTGAAAATGCTAACACTGGACTGCACTGCAAAATTTTCGAATAGTATATATTTGAATTGCTAATAGTTAGCTGGCCAACGCTTACCACAACATAAAGCTTCTTGACGATGGCGTCCGAATCATAAAGAGTAAGTGCTTCCACCCTAATCTCGTGAGTGCCATTGTGAGTGGGAAAAACAGGATATGCAATTTTGTACGACGAGTAGGGCTGAATCCTAAACGATTTCTTCTCCGAACGCTGGCCCGGGGCTGCTTCGGTACAAACACCTTCCACTCCATATATATATAGGTTTCCTACCATAGGCATAGAAATGATTATTCTCAGACCTGTACATTTTAGTGTCGAAACTAAATTTCAGATGAGAAAACGTCACATTTATTTTGTACATGTCTTTCTGCGGCCATTATACCATACCTTCACGATCCCTCTTAAAGCTTTTTTGCGCGTACGAAATGGAACAACCGTGTAAGTTAGACTAACACACAAACTCACCACTAACTGGCACATCCCTATAGTTGTAAAGTGTGACCTTGATCTGTACGTGTTCATTCCGGATAACCTTGTACGGCAGATCCAGTTGGATAAAGAACTCTTTAAGGGCAGTTATTTCGATTGGGTCCTTGGCGCAAACTCCGCCACGAGGGTTTACAGATATAGTCTCCAACGACCATGTTGTGATACTGTGTGGAAGCGTGAGATCAACTTTACTAATTGAATGGTTCTCTGAAATTTACACAGATACGAATAGAACGACAACTCATTAATTTCAAAGTACTGTGTCATAATCGGATCATATATAATTATTCACTAAAAATAATTATCGCTTTTTACCATAACCTTAGATGTATATATATTGTTCGCACACATGTTAACAAGTATGACGACAAAACACTAGTCATTCTCGGTGAAAGTAGCCCATTTCTAATGTAGCTATAAAGTTACCTGTAATTTCTATATTCTGAAACAGGAGCGACTCTCGGAAATCCTTGCGGATGTGCTGTTCAGGAACAGGCTCCTCTTCTTCCTCGATGAAATCCTGCGGGTCAGGTAAAACGCCTCCAATACGTTCTACGGGCAATAAAAGGAATTACATTTCAAGCGTATCAAACCAAGTTTGCATTCGTAAGTCTGCGCATAAAACATGTCCGCTAGAAAAAAGTTCTACCATGACCCAGTAGACGGATTCGGCACAAGCCGACAACAGCCCAAAACAATGGTCTCAAAATTGCCCCTTATAAAGTGATACGACCTAGCAGACCGGGGCAAACCTGTAACAGCTGGCACAATCTTGTGAATAAACATCGATTATCACATCCTATTTCCAGCTTCATTTCAACCTAATGGGTATGTGTTATTATTCTAGAGGATATAAGCGTCTCATCGTCACCCGAGTACATTAGTTGAGATCTACAAAAAAAATAATTAGCCAGTCTCGCATGTATAAAATAATGGTAGATATAGAGTACTTTCCATGCATCACTCACGTAGCGGAGTTTTATTAGTCCTTGGATCCACCTTATTACAGTGATCCATATATGTAGAATACACACATGAAGAAAACGACCAAGAAGCCTCGAACGCTGGACATATTCATTTGATTCACAAAATCACCCTTTTCCAGATACAAATATTCCAGTACAAATATGAAATAGTATTACTAATTGAAACGTTGATGATTTTCACGGTGCAAAATCGTTTCTTTGCATGAACCTCTAGAAAGCAATGTTTGCTATTTAAGCTTCGTACTTACGCCGACCATCGAGTTTCTGCCTAGTGAAAATCGAGAAGGGACGGATATGGCCAGTATGAGATCCTACCAATGGTTTATGGCAACATTGAAGAAAATGCTGCTGACATACTTCACGTAGACGTTGACCATCAAACTCGTGAATCAGCGATTCGCTTCGTTCCTCACAAGACCTATCCAGACGCAAAAAGTGACGTGTGGGTGTTATTGCTTGCACGATTTCGTATTTCTGTTTTCATTTACCGCAGAAATAATCAGATTAGATAGATAGATAGATAGATAAATATAGATTTGTGGTTTTGGTCAGGTGCTTGAAAAGCCTGCGGACATGAAGGTAGCTTAACGCGGCAATGACTATGAGTTGGTATACATGTTTCTAAATACGATGTGTTAATTGGTTAAATTATGCAATGTTCTTCTAATGCGACTAACTCATATTCCTTTGTTAGTTAAGAGACGGTCTTTTCAATTCAACTGTCACTCACTAATGTGCTTCTCAGTAGACTGCATTGAAAGTGGCTATGTAACAACACCAATCTACTCTTTCAGTAATAGAAGGAAAACGTTTTTGTACGTGCCTAGAGCTGTGATACTTGCTGTAAGCGAGTTCACAACACTTTAAAGCGAATTCGTCATTTGACCTCTCTTTCAAAAGGGCAGACCGTCTAGATCGCCTTTTTTCCTTCGAATCCTGACAGCTTTTGGTCATAACACGATCAGTGATTAGTACTAAGCCGGCAGAACCCGCTGACTCCTCCACATCAGCTCCACCTCCGTCTGAGCAGCCTCTGTCAGCTTCCATGAACCTGTCGAATATCTTCGTGATGGAACAATAAATAAAAACAGCATGGTGAGCAATGAAACACTTTTTTTGCTGTGCTCTGTTTTTGCTCACGATTACTAGTAGCAAAAGGCATCTCCTTTGTTTTCCCATAAAAATAGGCAGAAATGACTTTTTGCCCAGTGGAAAAAAGGAAAAAACCCACGTAGCGATTTTGCACTTACTTGCTTTTTAGTCAGGGGGGGACGATTTTTTAGAGCGTAAACCGCTTGATCGACGATGGAAAGGCCGACAGTGGTACCCAGCTCTGCATCGAACACTTTAACAGTACCATGCCCTCCAGGGGTTGGCTGGAAACTACAGTCAAGCTAAAAAAAGAAGACAGTTTTTCATTTTCCGGGATTTATTGCAACCAACGTTCAGTAACACAAGTCCTAATTACCGAAATCAACTGAATCACATTTTGTTATCGAGATAAGCCATTTTTAAGTAAGAGGACATTGGTTCCGGAAATATACATCATTAAGTACGCTGACGTTTTTTTAGGTTTTATTGAAAACTGACGCGAGTGTATAAAATATAGGGATCAGACTTCTTTGCTTAGAATAGTGAGCGTCCCATATAGCCGCTTAAAAATAATAAATATCACCCCATTGTATGCACTTATGTGTAAGCAAGTTACTTGTGTCTATAACTGTCGTGTTTTTGAACGCTTCTGAATAGTTAAATGTCATTGTTATACGGCAAAATTGAGAACTCTTTGGTCTTTAGCAATATTTATCCATATAGCCTAATTTTTCCCAATGACTTGAACTTACTTCAATTCGCTAGTGATCTGAAACTATCTTAGCTGTGGTTTCTAAGAAAAAAGAAAACGAGGAGCGAGACATAGTGTTATTTACCTAACCTAAGTCACCTAACCTAAGTCATGCGTTCATTCTACCGAGATGGAATAATTACATATGCAGGGTATAACACCTAAATTGGCGAACTGTTGTTTATCGTAACTGGTATTCATTTACGGGCAAAATTGTTTTTATGCCAAATAAACGAGCTCATCATAGTCGTTAACACTGCGTCATTTTTCGACTTTGAGAGGAAATAGAAAGCTGCCAACCAGTGTTTCGGGGGTGCACTCGACAAATCGTCATGAAGATTACAAAAAAACAGTGATTTTTTTCGAACAGAAATTCACAGTTTACATTATTGCCGCTCTTCATGTGGCTCCTGAAAGATTCCAAGACTAAAACTTTGACAAAGCAAACCGAAAACTCAAATAAAGAAGAAATAGCTTAAAAATTACCACTTAGTGTGGAGTCAGCACAGTGTTTTATATTTTATTATGTTATTTTTTTAATATTATCCTGACTGCGAGGAATAACAACTTTGGCATATAAAAAAGTTTCCTTCAAATATCTGTTTTTATAAGAAATAATCAAAATTATGGTGCCGTAGCCTGTACATAAATGTATATATATATATATATATAACACACTCACTTCAAATTCGGCGTGTCGACAATGTGGCTTTATCGACATAATATAACTGTCTATAGAAACATTTCTTCGTTCCATATAGCCAACAGCAACAACACGGGCTAACGGCGACATTTCTGGTGTGATCAAAAAGTTAACGACACCTCGGGACCCATTTTTGGGCATATTTTCCACCTGTAACACCCTGCCTGCATTTACCACGGTCACATGTGGAAGAAAAAGAATCATTTAGATGCTAAGGAGCGTTGCATAGAAAATAGCACCTCCTCTGTCGTTAATTCACATTAATAACAGGGGAGGTCCTGCTGGCACAGATGCTGACATAAACTGAATATAAAGTCAGTTCACAAATTAGTATAAAGCTAAACGGAGCAATATTTTTAAATGCCTCGAAAGTTTTTTTTTTTTTTTCTAAAATCTAAGATTTATTGATTTATATTTATTTAGTGTACAGTGCCTCTTTTTTCCTTCATATATAGATACCAAACAGGTTAAGGCTATTTCGTGATATTTATTCGGAAGAATCTTGAGATCCGGGGTCTAATGTGCATTAGATGCAGTGTCCCGTGTAGTGAATGATAATAGTTCTACCTTTTAAGTCCAGCCAACGTGTCACTGCTACCTAGCCCACCTAAATAGTCTAGATATAGTTGAGTTACTATATTTAAAGGTTGATATTATCATTCATATCGTTAGATATATTTTTTCATTTTGATGAGAAGCAAACAAACGAAGACTATCAAGCGGGTGCGATTAAGCCCAGACACCCCAAAGTATAATAATATCGGGTGTTATTATATATATATATATATTTGTAATAACACTACGCGTGTTTAATGCAACATCGTCCGACTCCACCCATGCCCATCAGCACTTATTTACTTACTCATGATTTTTTCGGACATGATCCACACTGCATATATATATATATATATATATATATATATATATATATATATATATATCATAGACGCTGTGTAAGGCCACTCGGTACTGTAGCGAATACAATTTAAAGTTAGGAGCAGAGTTGGCCTACTCGGCCTTAATCGAAACCGAAATCGTTGGAACTCTTGTCTCATCTTAATGCAATATCTCTGTTTGCAAGCCACCATTCTTGGTGCTTCATTGCGGCGTGTTATTGCAGTTAACCCTCTGTGCTAGCCATAGTAACCCCCCGCTACCGCTAAGTTCTTGAGGTTATTCAGCTGTCTAAAGGTGCGATTCTTCTGAACCTTTCCTAACTACTAAGGCACATGAAATAATAGCAATAGCGAGTAAAAAAAACGTACATACCGGCGGCGATAATTGCAACGATCGCTCCACTAAACGCATTTTCCGGTTTGAAATGCACTTCAACCGGAAACGAGGTGCCAACCTCGAATTGCATTTCCGGGGGAACTTTCTTAAGAGCAATGTACTGTCTTTCTTTGTGAGCCCGAAACGTATAGTGAGCTGGCATCGACCTTTTATGTTGGCCTATTTCAAAGTCGACACGAATTTGTGTATACGAAGGCTCGGTGGGAACAATGAAGCTGGCCCTGCCGTACGCATCCGTGTGTTCAGGCCTACGTGGTGCACCTGCGATCGGTCTTTCGTCATCGTTGTATGCTCTGATACGCACTGGAACGTCTTTGGCAAAACCTCCATTGGGATATCGTACACGTATCTGCGATTTCAGATAACGATGTGATTGATAGAGTCGATTATCCACTTCAATAAAGTGAAGCAAACAAAAATGCAGATGCCTATGCATAGAAATAGCTACAATCCTGGTGTAATGCAATGGCCCCCTACAACGGATGACCTTTCAATGGATGTGGAAGTAGTAATTCATGAAAATATACATTAAAAGCATGGAGCTTAACTTCAAAAGCTAAATGCAACATAATGATATCATGTTGATTATTGTATACATCAAATATACTATTTGATAACAGTTACGTTAGTGGCAGTCCTTGATCCCATGAATTCAAAATGGTTTTTGTCCCTTATAGAGAATCATTAGTATATCGACTTTGGTAGTAGTCTAAAAAAAAAAATAGGAAAAAACAGATTTGGATTGAAGAGCGAGCGCTAATCAAACATCTTATTAGGATATGACTGGATTTTTCTATAAAGTGAAGAAGACCGGATATGAAGTCTCGGAAATGACTGAAAGCCAATGACTCACCGTGATAAGCGCCGGGTAACCAGGACGAATTGACTTTTGCATTTCCGCCATCGACACCTTATAAAACGACCGTTCGAAGACTGCTCGATCACTTTTGACTGTGACAGTTTTGCCGGAAGTTAGCTCATACACATCGGCTTGTAACAATAGTCGTTTCTCATTTATCACTGCTCGCCAAACATTTTTACTTTTATACTTGGTGAGATCAATGTTGAATACAGCTTCACCATCCTCGTTCAGCTTCGTCCAGTTAAGAGACCCATCTGCACGAACATGGACACGAAAGTTATTCTCTTATAGGTCTCCAATTAGCCAACAGAAGAAATGATGCAGAAGAAACAATGACGATATAAGATACTTTTTGATTTGACATGTTTGGCCTTCTTTGCGGATGAGTTTTCCGGGTACACAAAAACATTACGCAAAAAGCCCTTTTTCTACGACAGGTAGAATTGTTTATTCGACTTAATTTTCCTTCCAAACTTAATCTTCCAGCGCCAATACGCCAGCTCGGGGCAAGCAATATTGTTAGGATGGACGTCTATTCTCTCACTATGCCAAATGTCAATAAGAGTTTCTAGCAAGAAAAAAAAAACTTACAATGCGTGGGATTTCCTATAACAGTTTCTATAAATTCCTTGACAAACACTTGACCCTGAACCGGTTTTCCGTAGACGTGCGTAGCTGTTATTTTTGCAGACGTTGAGTTCATTGAGGGAACCAATGTGTCGGTTATATCGATGTCGACCCGGAAAGTCGGCAAAACATATTCTTGTAACTCGAATTTCTGTTCCAGTTTTTGGCGTAGATCGTTACCGTAGAGTACGACAACCTTCCATTCACCCAAATCTGGGTCCTCAGGAAATTGATAGTTAAGATGGAACATGGATAGGGTCGCATTGTGGAGGTCCTTTGACATCATCAGACGATTCTCCGGGTTCTGCAAAGGATTGCTGCTTTGGGTACGAATCAAGCGTTTACCACCCACTAGTGACTAGCATTAATCCACTTAATGTATTAAGGTAAATTTGTAATGTAAATTTTAAGAGCAATGTTTCAAAATACAAATTCTACTATATTACTTGCCTCTTTTCGGTTTGGAACTACCACTACAATACGCTGGAGGTTTGTTAGGTTTTTGGCCTTTTTGCCCCGATAGTAACTTAATTTGCACGAGGTGTTTCGGTATACCAGACTATCTTCATTTTAATAGACAAACGAAACGAGGAACATAGTTACACCGTCTCGGAACGCTTGGACCAATATAGTGGCATGATAAGATTGTCGCATCTTATCTCTCACACTTAGTCTCAAGTTAAATTTCCAACAAGTATCGTTAGATACTCGTACAAATCTAGTAATATTATTTTTGAGAAACATTCATGCGAGTAATAGATACATGTTCTTCTGTTTATTTACACACTTGGTTACAGATCCACCATTCGAGCAGTCGGACGCGCGACTGAGCAAACGAGTGATCCATAGAAGTTTAGCAGGTCTGTACGCTATTTTCTGGAAACTTTGCTATTTTTTTCATTTGGGATCCGATTGATTTATCATGAATGACTGGCTGGCTGCACATTTTATTTTATATTGAAACTCCGTAAACCTTATGTCAATTGTGAGAGTTTTAAAGGACTGTTAATTGGTCCTATTATACTACCCACTAGCAAAGAGACCAATTCTGAAACTAGTACCACGCGCTTCGGCCCCAGAAGCTATAATAAGTTGGAAAAAGTCATTCTTGTAAGAATCCACTGTCCGTATAGTGGACTTCAAACTTCTCAGTCAATATAAAACAATGCAAATAGTAAAAAATTTTCATCAGATCATCATTATTGAACATAAATTCATCTTTTTCAGTGCTCCGTAAGCATTTAGATAGTACAACAATAAAGTGTAATATGTGACTTCACGTAGTGGCATACGTTATTGACACAGAGCTCCCTTCAGATTTCCGTAAAGTCCCACAGTTAAGATGGCATAACAACCGCACTGTCAATAATCATACGCTAGACAAAACTGAACTACTTATAGGCATAGCACTGCTGGCTTGACGGATCGTTCGCGTCAATGAGGTCACAACTAGACCCCCTAACCTCCCCAAGCAAATAACAAGAGATGACAAATACGTGTCTTTAAAAATAACATACACACCTATTGCAGTTTGACGGATCCCATTACGCTATATGACATCATTACATTTTATGAAATCTGTATTTCCTCCGTCAGATAGCGTGGCGACTATTAACTGACTACGAGCTAGCCTGTTAGCACCAAAGTGGATTAGGTACTCTAAAACTTGATGGGTAGATATGGAATTTGGGAAAATTAAGTATCAATTTTAAGCTTTTTTTTTCATCAGCAAAAGCCATATTACTATTACCAAAACACCTATTCTACCATCTACACAATGCCATTTCTACGATGGCTTGCTTCCTGCACTCTATATAGAACTCTAGAACTTTAACATTGAGTAAAACTGGCGCTGCAACAAGGCCTTGTCTATTCAGCATTCCCTCCTTAAGAAACTTGAGATGGTTAAGAAGAATCGTAGCAAATAATGGCCAAACAAAACGACTACATTTAGCGGGTACGCCAAGCAAAAATTCATACATTTTTGGCTGCATGATTATGGAAGAAAACGAATTCTTCATGGACCTTCAAATTATTTTTTTAAGGTTTTTTTTTGTTTCGATTCATCCAGTGTTTGTAGGCTGCGGATTTATATATAATTAGATTGGTGTTAGGTCAGGCAAGTTTTAAGGTTCATACAACTAGTCATTATCAATCTTCTTTCAACAAGCTAGTTTGAGTCAATTTCCTACCGTTCTTTCTGTAGCAGTTGAGCATAATGCAAGTGCAAAAACTTATGCAGAGTTGCTTTGGCGTTTAATGGCGAACTTCACTGGAAATCCTCAGCCATAAGAGATAAGCTTAACTCATTTGAAACACAAAGAAATATCAAATGATTGCTAGAAAAACAGCACACACAGAAACTATACCGCTCTTAAAGCAATCAATAGAAGTTGACAAGTACGCACTATACATACAGACTCCGTTGATAATAATATCTATTCAGCTGATAATATTTTTTCCAACGTGTACCACTGTAAATTTTCAGCCAGATAAACTCCAAATATTTAAAATCCCATTTGCATTCTACGTAAAAACCTCCAAGAAGCCAGCGTCATACAGATATCTACACATGACGGTCTGTAGAGTATTTTAACGTACCTTGATCTGTACTCTGTAGATTCTATCAGCCGGTCGTATCTGCTGATCAACCGTAATCACTCGTACGTGAACCCCTTTCTCCTTGGGGCTGTAGATCGGTTTATCAGTTTGCACCATGATATGCAATCCGCGCTGGGACACCGAGAATGTACGTATTTGCGATACACCATCGAATGTTGCCTTAAGATCGATGAATGGCGTGAAGTTTTGGTGTATGTTGAATTTGACAACTCGAAACTGAAAAAGCAGATTGTTGACCAAATTACCCCATATGACTAAACGGATCTTTTTTGAAGAAATGAGAACGCCTAAGCCGATATTGGGGCAGCTCTATTCGTGGCGAAAACCCTAATGAATTTCTCAGATTAATTTTTACCACTTCCTTCTGGCTATGCACGTATGCACTCATAATTACATTTCGGTTATGCATTTGTTTTGAAAATATCTTGCATTAACTCTGTGCCAACGGCTGGGCAAAGGATCACCAAGATGGCGTTTCATCCAATGACCCCGCCGCTTAATGTAAACTAAGACTGATTCCGTACGACGTAGTTAACTAACCCTACAGTGGTGAAATTTAGATAAGCACAGTACCGCGCAATGTAGGCTGTTATAAATAGGAATACATGACGCTATTGCGGCACTTGACGTTGTCTAGAATTTTTCGGTGTTTTATACCCAGAGTCAAACCATAGAGTTGAGTTGAACTTTCTAAACCATTAAAAAGACCACCAAGTTCGGCTCTGATTAAAGACATAATAAACCATGTGTCGTACATCGTTATCACATGTTGATTTAGCTCGCCTCAACAGTCTGTCTATGAATAATTCGCCTGGAAAATTCCGAAACCATTGGACCCCGCTATCAGTCGTCTGAGCGCTTTGACGTCATCGACATTCTATATTTCTATTTAACTGAAAATTTGAAGATACAGAGCTTATCTGTACGGTTGTTATTTTCGGATAAATGTTTGTCCATTAGTTACGAAATTTTTTTTTAATTTCCGGCTGCAATAAACAAGCCTGAAACAATTTTTCCTTAGCCGCACAGTTTAGCTAGCTGCTGAACGTTCGCATCGAAGGACCGCGCTTCGATTATAGTTCTACGCGAGCTCAACGATTCTACAGTGACTCCATATGGTAATATCTTGGTCTGCCTCTTTGTCGTAGGCTACACACAGATCATGGCAAAATGAGCCCCCACGAAAATGGACAAACGGATCCGACGCTAGTTAAGCAAGTTTAAGAAGCTGCTTACGGTAAGCTGGTTTAAGAAGGCCAAACTAGGAGCATGCGTATACATATATATATATGCTGTATGATCTATGTGAGGATTTTTAAGATACACATCCTGCGACAAAGTTAATATTTGGGTTCGTTTTTCCTTTAGGACTACCACAGAGAAAACGAGGCTTTAGGTATGCAATATTGCTGTGGTCTTCTATGCTAGCTATGATATACTATACAAAAGTTGACCTCGATAGCTACTTCAGTAGCTTTGATGCAAGCCAGCGAGAGAATCGATCTCTTCGAAGATGCACAATTTGCGATGCGTGTATTTTGTTTGGAAAATCGAAAAGTACAAAGTTGCTCTCTAAGATAGCTAGATTTATTCTTTTTATATCTTTTCTACGAACCCGCTGATACATAATCGAGAACAGATAAAACAATATTATGTGAAGGTGAGGATGAATGTAAGCGTTTATATAAAGTTTAGTAAAAGAGAACTGTTGAAGGATCACGTTCAGATTTATCAGTAACTCAAATAGTAAACATTGTAAGATAAAAATTACTCCCGTCGAGATTCGCTGTATTCTATTATTATAAGTGCACCGGCAAAATTGGTCTAGATTAATGAAGTGGTTTGGCCCAATGCTATCGCTGACCTAAACAATCACAGTAAATAATCGTCTATCGAAGATAAAGGCTGACGTGTCCAGAAACCTAGCGTCGTTAGATCATTTCATATAAAGTAGTACGAGATAATATTACATTCAAAACACAGTGTTTTCTGGTAGAGCTTTATGGTCTTGATGATCTAGCTCTCCGCTAACGGATTCGCGTTTTATACTCGAGCGTTGATGGCATTAAGTTATTGTGAGACTCGAATTTCATACTTAAATGAATCATACCAACAACATCAAACGTTCTTCAGTACTACACTAGCGGCGCAGTTAGCATAGCTAGTTTACCTAACCTTAAACAATTAAATCCTATTAGACCCAAACGTAACAAGAATACAACGCACAGAGCCGCCCACTGTCCACGAATGAACCTCAGCTCAACTAACACATTTGATCCGGTCCAAGTTCACGCCGACGTAACTGCTAGTTCGCGTTGTTTGTAATCGCAGTTTCTGCAGCAATCGCTTCCCAATAGTTCAATACTGATCCAACAGAAATATTTCACACAGTGGGACACTAAAAATCATCATTTTATAGGGAAAATATCACATCGGTTATCATTTAATACTTGGAAACTGTTACCGCTAGCATTGGCCAAAGATACTGACCTCTCCAGGTTGTAGCGTCAGCACTTGGGGCGTATAGGTCGGGTCGGTGCCTAGTTGAGGATTGTTGGCGAGGCCGATTTCGCCTTTGAGCGTCCGCGACTTTGGATTGATGACCAAGATAGTCTCCTCGTTGCCCGCCAAGAACAGTGAAGGCGCGAGCACAATGAACGACCTAGCGCCAAAGATATGAACGGGACAATGGCATATCAATAGAAGGACGACGAAATATTGTTAGCTGTTTTCAAAGTAGAATAAAACGGTTCATATTGTTAACTTTATCAGTTCTACGCGTGACCTCACATTTAGCACACAAAGCGGAGCTTCTTAATGGCAAAAAGGTTATTTAACCACATACATAGGTGTTCTTCCGTAAATATTCGGTTTGTATGTATGGGCTTGTGTTGATTTACCACCAGCTCTGCCGTGAGACATATGCGAGCACTGAGCTCTAAGCGCATGGGCTTAGTATAATTGGATGTACGGATAATGAGAGATACATTAATCATCACAATTTCAGTGTTACGGAACAACAAATAGAGAGCTGATCAAACGGGATTTGATAACTTGTATTCAAGCTTATTTCCCAGTGAACGGTCTAGCGGCGATACGATGAGGGACGATACTACCTCTGTTTAATTAGCGAAGTATATTAAATAATGCTGAAATTCATTTTCATCGATTTCTCCTCTTTGTATAGAACACTGTTTACACTGGTAAGTCATTTAGGATATTAAGTGTACATAAACTTAGTTAATAACAGTTTAATTAACTATATATCATGGCATATTTAATTTTTTCGCTGAAATTTCATTAAACTGCCACTATTTTCTAAAGGAAATTAAATAAATTGTCTATTTATTATGCGTCGATTGGGCTTTCTCAGTCTTCTGAAGAACAACTGCTGCAATAGCAGTGATTCGATCCGTTAGGAATATCGGAAATAGTGGCAAGTTTTGGCGTCACGATATTGGGAAATCTCGAAACAAACAGCTACAGAGAAGCCCTAAGACGAAATGTAGTAACGTGTTAAAATGAATTATATCTGCCACACAGCTGGCCGTCGTGAACAATATTGCTGTGAGAATTGATGTAGAACTATAGACCGCACCTTTTGAAAACGTACAAAAAGCCTAGTTCGTCCACCTTGAAGCAAAATCGAACAGCTCGTAGGAAAAGGAATAATGAAGGCTGACATTTTTCAGTACTCGCATTGTCTGGTCTGACCACTATCCACAACAGACGCATCGTTGATGGTCCGGATCGACGCTTTACAATTGCGGCTCGTATCGTGCCAGATCATGTTATGCGTATTAGCTATTCGGTATATTTAATCTAGATTAAAAACATTGTGTCTATTTGCATTGTAAAAATCTATTAAACTAAAAAACTATTAAAAGCTATGAACTTGCGCGTATGAATCGTTTAGCCGCTAGGCCTAATGCAACCTATGACCAAAAAACTGCTATAAAGAATTGACGAATCTTAAGGATCAAGTAGGACCAAAATATACTTCAAGAGAGCTTTTTCGAAAGGAACGTTTCAATTGCCTTTGACCTAATACGACGCCTATCTTTAGAACGTTTTTAGATACACAGCTTGTATTACTTTACAGACGCCCTATTCCTCTTGTCTTTTCGCCAGTTCCTTTGATTTCTTATAAGCGAAATGGTGGGTAAGATTAAAGTTAAATGTCGAGGTAACTGGAGCAATCTCTTCAAGCTGTCGGAATAGTCAGTCGCGTACGAGTATTTACCACTCCGCTGGATCAGAATATACAGCCTGCAGATATCTAATATTGGTCAGCCTTCAGGAAAAGTTTTTCTTTTTATATTTAGATTACCGCATTGACAAGATAGAACATCTTCAATTACCTTTTTAACATAAGAATACATGAAGCTGCATCGATAATAACAGTGGTATTCATTTCCGTAGCAAATGTAGAATAGATTTTATCGTTTGTTTTTGTCAGGCGCTAAAACCTGCATGCGCGGCAACCAGTTCACAGTCGTCGTTCGCAAGGCCGTCAGCGCAAAACGGTTAAATTTAAGTTCTGGTTCTTACTCACCGTTCTACTTTGTACATTCAAGGTAAAAACAATTACCAAGTAAACAGTGACGACCGGTCTTAGGCTTTGGGATGAGTTCATAGATATATATATATGACGCTTTCCTGAACAAATTACGTTAAGACATCATCTCCCATTAGAGAACTTGTGTTGGGTTTAATATCTAGCGAGTTGTTTTCGGCGGTTGGTGCGAAATATCTCTACGAAATAATTGTAGCCTATGATTCCATCGATCATTTCAGTTGGAGTACTAGAACAGATAGCTTTTATAATTGCCGCACGCCGCAATTCAGGAAAAGGTCTCAAAATACAGAAAATGATATATCGAAATAGGAATAGCAAAAGATAGTGACATGTCTAGAGTTAAAGTTCTATATATGTTATGTCCCTTTGTTAATATTCTGGCTCTGCAATAGATATCTCGCGCAAAATCGATCATTACCCTCATATAGATCATGACGTTTTGCAGACAATGCCAACATTAAAAATAGCTTGCTTCGAGCTTATGTTTCTCTGAGTACTTTGCAGTAGCCGTAGTAATCACTCTATGGTTATGCTGTTGAAATATGCCCGCTAGTGTTTTAACATGGATAAGAAATAGGACCTTAGAGAAGCAAATATTTTGTAGACCAGAGCCGAATTTGTAGATTTAAGAAAAAACCTTTTTCTTCTTAAAGACGCTTTTATTAATTTGACAGCGATACCCCTCCGAAATATCGAAGTTATATTAGCTAAATTTTCGATTTTAAAGACGTATATTCGAAATGAATGGGTTGAATAATTATTTTTTTCAAAATAGTTGATACCCAATGTCAGTGAATCCTTGTGACGAATTAAGGTCCAATCTTGCTGATTTGTACCTTAGTTCTAAGAAATCCGGTCAATTGTAACTTGCAGAGTATGCGAGTGCAATACGATTGTCCTTAGAAAGAGATTGTAAAACCTCTGATTTTGGTGACTGTATGTCTGAAGCACGCTCAAATGTTCGATTCGGAGTCCCTCATAGCTACAATTTAAGGTATCTTTATTAGAATATTTATACAATAAACTTAAGGTCTGATGAAAGAGGTGGGCCTGCTGTACCGTGTTGAATTAATAAAAACTATATTTTTGGTGTTCACGTGCAACCATAGGCTTTCCTTTTGCTTTCCAGTATTTCTCATAGAATTACTGAAACAAATCAATTGACAAATAGACTATTTCGGTAGTAAAGTAAACCATACAAACTAATAAAAATATAGTTTTTTCCTAAATAATCATTAGGAAGTGACTAAACACTGTTTGAGTAGTATTTTGTCAGTATTTTGTAATAAAACTTAAAATTATCTTGGAATATATAATATATATATATATAGCACTTAATGAATTCTAAGGAGTGGTAAGTAAGTGAAATTCTGTCTATTAAAAACCAACAAAGCTTTATGTTAATAAACACATCGGAACGCCTACTGATTTCTATATAAGCGATCCATTTACTCTGAAGCCTGCATGGACGCTATTAATGTAAGGCACATGAGAATGATCTACGGTAACAGAAGAGCAGGCCGTACGACTGAGCTATATATCCTCATCATGTTTCAGAATGGCCAGAATGTCGTTTGACGTGCCTAGGGAAAATAACGGTACAGGTCAAATGAAATAAGGTTTAGTATATAAAGGGACTTTTGGCGGTAAGGTAAAAAGAAAACTCTAGCGACATGGCCGAATCAGCTTACTAGGGCAAGGCAGGATTCTGCTGATGATAGCTCATTAAATTTTAAAATTCAATAATCTTTGTTAAACTTAGGAATTAAACTTTTTTAGTCTTTTCTAATAATGGGTCTTAGTGTATAGATATCAAATTGCCATTTTGTCTACTTATGTGTCTGTGACTGTCCAAAGTAAAAGGACTATTAACACAGAACAGCTAGAAGCATGATTATTTAGATGAACAGCGAAAAAGCTGGCTGTTCTTATAGTCCTGGGCCCATCCAGTTGCTCCTCTTCCTTGATTATCTCGTTAGTCTTCCAAGTACGCTTGCCAAGAATGAAGACGGCAATATTTCCATATCTTACCATGTTGTTGAAATGGTTGCTAGCAATAGGGCAAGCTCCAGACACAATCTATTGGCTCGGGGCTTCATGTTGTCGACGACTGTCCGTTTCTCACCGTCGAAAATTTCCGTCTCTCACAAATCCCTAGAACTCATACTATTATATCCTATTCACACATGATGATGACTACTCTCCTGCAAAATGAAATCGAGCTGATACACCGCAGCTGGTATCGCGTCAACAAGCTTGTTTCGCATAAAATCTGTCATTCGTTATGCGGGATCTTTTTCCTTTAACCTGCTCTCAGGGCAATGTCCTGCTATCCTGCAATGTTTATATGCCTTCCTGACACGGCTTGTTAGCTGACAGCTGTATTGATATCGATTGCATATGTCACGCCAGCATTAGCTGGTTTCGTAAAAAAAGCTACGTGCGGCTTACTCGTGTCAGACGATCTCACTCGTGTATTTGGTTACTTTTGTCTATATATCTCCAACACAAACAAAACATTTTCAGCGCTGATACCATTAACGAATACCCTAGGTCCGCGCGGCCAAAGTTCACAGCTCTCCCACAATTCAACGAGCGCCTGTGCCACCTACACTTTCATTTTTCTTTTCCATTTTTTTTTATCTGGAAAATCGACTAAAATTTCCAGATATAATCACAGCATCGTCGTTCTCCTTCTCGGAGCTTCGGTGATCTACCTGATGTGGGTCTGTGTTCGTGTATTGCTTTACCGCCGCCACTGCTGTTGTATCAATGTCGCGCCACGACTGCTGCCTCGAGGGGCGGAGTTCGAGTAGCCCGCTGCGGATCGATGCGGTCAGCAAAGAAGACGAAAAAGAAGATGCTGCTGCTGCTGCTGCTGCTGATGATGATGATGATGATTACGATGATGACAACGACTCCAAGAAACAGCCACGATTGAACACGAGTAAAAGTAGATGGTTTGCAACCGCGTATCACATTGCTCTCGGCGTAGCGATGAGATCACGATCGATGTCAACGTGCATTTACCCGGCCCGCGGCAGTAATGCAGTCCTGCCTGCTGCTCTCGACGTTTTAACGGTCACGATTGGTCGTCGTCTTGTCGTAGTAGGACGTACCGGAATATGTCTCGTTGGTTTGGTTTTTTATTCCTTTCGTTTCTACTCTTTGGCAGTGTCGCTTGTTGTCACTTACCAGAATCGGTTTCGTCGGCGACGGCGTTTCGTTTATGCCACTGTTGGATTCATCTTGTTACCGTTGTTTTACGCGATATGATGATGTATGATGTTGCTTCGCTATTTGAGTTGTTGCTAATGGCGGTCACCGGTGTTGCGTACGTTATTGTTTCACGCACCGCGACGCTGTCCGTAAGTTCTGTGGCCCAGACCCAGTGTTACGATTTACGACAAGCGTTTGTGCGTGTGGCTCACGAGAGCTAGTAGCTGCTTCTGCCGCTCATCGTTGCCGCTTCTATCAGCAGAGGCGATTTTCTCTGTCCTTCTGCAGCTATTCCTCGTCACTACTAAATACTCAACCTACAAACGCTGACGATGGCCGATCGTATCAGGGGCTGCTGCGTTGGTGATCATGATGCCATTACTACTGCTCTTGGCTCCGCTGGTCTTACCTTGTTTCCGCCTCGTGTTGCCCTCGTCTTTTACCGCTTGCCCATCACCGTCACCGCAGCAGAAGCGCCACCAATAGCGATCGCTGCGATGCGCTCCAGGCAGACACGCTCGCTCGCTTGTTCGCTCGCCCACCGTACGTAATTGAGTCTTGGCAGAGTTTACTAGATGTGTCGGTATCGCTGTCAATATGGCAGTTGCGCTCGTCGCAGAAAGTAGAAGGGATGCATTTGCGGGTGCAATTCAGACCGGCGCAACTACTGCTGGACTGACAAATTGACAACGTCTCACCTGAACCGCGCACATATGTCACTTCCGTCCCCGCTGACATTTGCTTGCAGCTTTTTTGCTTTACTCCGACACTTGTAACAGCAGAAGCAAAATAGTCAGTCAAAGAAATTGAACGACGCTGATAGGATGCTGTTAACGACCAGAAAAGCGACGTACAAAAACAAACACACGTAATAGATGGATCGTAGCCGTAGGACAAAACAGTGATATGCATATTTCAAAGTTATTTGACTGCTACAGAAATTACTTGATGTATGTTACGAGATTATTGTTATTAGGTATGAAAGAAGGACCAACGCAGAAGATAGGCTCGCTCTTTGTGCGTTTCGTCCTTCAACGTTACGGTCATAAGCTGGATTGAGTAAGAAAACGACGATAAGCATCAGGCGCATAGAATGTAATGAGGCCAACTCCGAGAAATCGAAAGGACGATCGATTCTTGGAGATCGGAAACATCGAAAAAAGACATTGTGCCGCCTAAGCAAGCTGACTATTGATAGTCATCAATGCTCAATGTGTTATGCTATGAAGAGCATGATCAACTTAATCAGCGCGCTCGTCTTCGGCAACAAGGACTGAAGAATCTGACCGAAGAAAAACTCAATGAAAAGCTCAGTGCTACAGAGTTACTGAGAATTACAACGATTTGCAGCCGGTTGGGCTGTAGAAACAACAGACGTAAGTGATGATGCTTTTATTGTCTCGAAAGGAAGGCGACCAGAAAGAGAAGCGGGTCGTGAGAGGCGATCGAAGGTCAAAGACAGAGGGGGCACTTGGCTTTTAGATGTTGACTCTCAAAAAGGTCTGCTGCCTAGAGCTGCCTGTTTTGTTGCTGCGGGAGGGGTAATACTGGCACTATTCCGGTTCTGGTTTGTTTATCGCGAGCGCCCCGAGTTCGTCAACGAGAAGGAACCGAAGAAAAGGCACAAGCAACCCTTAGATAAACCTCATCGACACAGAGAAGAAGACGTAAACATAGGCTATAGTAAAGCGATGGTCATCGTCACCATCTCCATAATCGGTATACAGCATCAGTGTTATTCGATGTTGAACAGGTACTGGATTAGTATACGTTATGCTAATAGGCGGCTTGTGCTTCTTACAGAGGGTCTTTCCTTGCGAAGGCGAAGAGGACCGGGTCCAATCGCACAGCTTAAAGCTTCAATAAGCCTTTCTGGCGGTAAATTAAAAAACGCTTATGTTAAGTTGGTTCCTTTGTTCATTTGTTTACTTATTATTAGCTTTTCTTGCATTCAATGTTAGCTAGCCGCTATTCCTTAAGAGAGCCATACTAAAAGCCAGACGTAAACTGTGGAGTTTCTTGTTTAAAGAACCATTATACTCATAGTAAAAAAGAAGTGATTTTTGTTAAAGGTCTGCTAAGGCTTTGTATCCTATGAATATCAGCTCATATAATTTAGTTGATATAGCGCCCAACAGAGTTTTATGGATAGAGCTTGTTTAATATATGCTGAATAAGTATATTAACTTAGACAAACATGATACATTTTGAATTGAGCAGTTTAGGGGCTCAGTCAAGAATATCGCTGAATTATAATGGCAGATTAATTCTACAAAAGGTATCTGACAAGGCCTCTGGCCATCTGCAACTTGAAAAAGAGGGGCGGATGGCCGATGTGCCTCTCTGAGTGCGCTGCCATAGTAGCAATAACTAACTAATGTTTGCACGCCGTTCTAAATCTCAGATTTGGCAAAAAAAAATCATTTATATTATTATCAAGCTTGGCAATTGCTTGTACGGCTGCCATACCATTTCACGAGTCTGTTGCAGAAACTCTATACATGTTAATCAAGACCTGCTCCAGTTAGACTTTCAATGGGAGAAAGTTATTTGTGCTATACTTAGAAAAAGTTATTCTAGAGAGTCGTGTCTTGAACAAGAGAATGACTCAGTACAAGGAAAAAAGTAACTTTGAAAGGAAAAATTATTTGTAGTAATGCTTTTCGTACTATAGAAGGCGGCATAGATGAATGTTTTCAAAAAAGGTCGCAGGCCGCCGTTTTACATTAAAAAAGAGTCAAAAAGCAACTGTATCCCTTTTCTGTCAAGTTTTGCTCTGTTACGTTGAGTGTTGGTGCTGATCAGATTTTGGCCTGCTCTGCTGAACAGCTTTTTCGTAACTTAAAGGACCACTAACCGTGAAACATGTTTTTTTAGTTTCGTTTTATATAACGTACGATTTTACCGTTCATCTTGAAATACACCTGCTCTGCACAAATCGGGATAAATATAGGCGCGTTAATCTTCTGAAATATCCCGGACGGATGCCTATTTCAAAGCTCTACTTTGTTTTAATTATTTTGTATCTCCAGGAGTTACGTGTTTTTTTTTTTGACCTCTTTCATCACACAAGTTCGAGACATAATTTGTAGTGGTCTGAAAGTGAGCGAGAGTGCTTCATAAACGAGAGACTTATCGTTCTAGAAAAATTCACGCAATTTTTCAGGCTCGCGGGTGTTTCTAATTAGGCTCCCTAATGTATTGCAGAAACAAAAAAAAAAATTCTGCTTTTTCCTTCGTTTACAGAAATCATATTTACGCGTTCTAATGAACCATACAGACTTTGGCTTGGCAAGCAACAGTGAACATACCCAAAGCGATGAAATGGAGGCAAACACCTATACATAAAGGAGAAACATTGCACTTGACTGAGTGGCACGGCAGTTTAAAATTGTTTGTTTTTCCAGTTCATTCGCCGTTTTTATATAAACTCAATGACCCCTTCCGGTCCAATCAAGTTATTATGGATATCGTTGTTGTTGTAACCGACGTACTTGACCCTAATCTAACGTAGGTTGGGATTCGGGTCTGATATTGAACTATTTTAGTGACTATGTTACGTTATTATGATTGTAAAAAAGATCTTTAGCATATAGTTGAGTCTCTTAGCTGTTGTGGCCGGAGTTAGTGCCAATATCAAGCTGAGGTGGTGTTTCGAAGCCTTGTGGCTTTGTGTGTGTGGAGGTGGTTTCGAAGCCTCGAAGGTTGTGGGTCACAATTTAAGGATTATCCTACATGTGTCACTTTTATATATTAAAAATACATAGCCGTTGTACGTTCTAAATGAAACTAATGTGAGAGCGCTTTGTCTTCGTCAAGCAGCTTGACGTGGTGTGACTGGCGGGGCTGGATAGAACGATGCACTTAACGATATTTCAGTGACGACTTCCTGTGGGTTGGAATGTGCAAATATTTAATCCGACGCCTTGAGATGGGCGACGGTCGATGAGCACGCGAAGCAAAATGGCGCTACTTTGACTCCTGATCAAGCAAATGGGAACTCTAATAATCCCAAGGGATGTAGACGGAATCGCTGACCGACTTTTGCTAAAGTACGCAAACTCGTGAGTAAAAGAACGAGTTACAGTCTACAATCGTCTGTATAGAACAACCGGAAAGAATTGCCTCAAAAGAATACTAAGTGGACTTCAGGGTTCTTATGCTACTTCTACTACCCAAATACTCTATTACGTTGTTGAATATGGAGCGGTAGAGAAGGATTGAGGTTTCATCGTTTTCCAGCCAATACAATTATTATCAACTAGTACTAATTAAGACTTCATTGTTCGGGAGACGAAATGCTAAGGATAAGAGCGTATCGGTTCATTGAAGCAGTGTTTATTATAGCGTTTGTGTCTCATTGGCAACGGCAATTACATGGCTTATTGATAAATCTGGTGTTGTGTGTTGAACACGTATTCGATTAAAAAATACTTAGTTTACATGTATATACCGTATGCTTACGTGTGCTTGTTACCGCTGCGTCTACCTGTTGACGCTGGTTCTGTCTCATACAGCCTTGACAAAATGTTTATTCGCTTTCGACCAAACGTTGCCCCTATGTTATAATAATGATCGTGTAAAATGTTGTTGCTTTTTACTGTGATTTACTAAATAAACCTAAACATTGTCAAAATAACAGTTCCATAAATAAATCAACGAAGCTTTGTATTGTAGAAGATTCAGAGGAACATATTGGCGCAGTTGAAAGGGAACGTATATGCAGAGGTCCCGAGTACTAAATATATATGCCGATATATCCTTTCCAGAGACGTCCAAATAATGCCATTACGGGTATTAAGAAGAAGTCTAAAACTGCTTTGAAAAGCGGAAATCCGAACTGTCACTGCCGTCTACAATCATCCCAACCCAAATTAATATAATGGTACATCATTCGGAATGGACAATTCTACCCCCGTATTTGGCAGTATCAACGTCCGCATAAAATCTACTAAATTATAAATTGTCAGAAACTCGGTAAACAAAAGAAAAAGGACGAGAGAAACGTTTGCTTCAAAAGATTGCATATATATATATATATATATATATATATATATAGCAAGAGAGGATATTTCCGGGAAGTTCACAAGGATCAAATTGAAAAGAAAAAGAACCGGATGGCCACCGGCTGGATATTAATAAAACATGTTCATAGTTTCGAAAAGCGTAGACAGAAAGGTATGCTAATCATTGCAAATTGACAGAGTAACAGTTGATAGCGCAGGCCATCTATGGCCTGCGCTAATCGAACCAGTCTTTCTCTATCGGGTTCACTTTTAAAAAAACGTGTGTGTTTTCCAAAACATACTACGAGCTCAGTAAAAATCTAACAAAGCAGCCTTATTTTTCACCTATCGTTTTTTATTGAATGTGATAAACATAGTGTTTCACCGGCTTCAGCACTTGTAGGGAGTACTAATCACTTTTGTTAGCTAAAAGGAGATATATAAACCTTCAAATAAAACTGGTTTCAATTATAAGTCTACGGAGATTAAAACCGAAAGCAAAGTTCCAGTATAGATCGGCTCACTTCAGTGTTAAAGACTGTTCAATCCAAAGGATAGTTAGGAGAAAACTATTTCGAACTGTCAAAGAAGAGGTTTTAATAGTGAAGCACAAGTTCGGTCTGACTTACATACAAGTACTCCATTTTATGTAGTGCTCATAAGCCGTGTAAATGAAGTGTGAATATTCATCGATCGAGCCGCGTAAATGCAAAAGAAAATCGTTTTTTTTTTTTTTTTTTTCTTAAAATTTTTCTTAGTTTTACATACTTTTAGAGCGAACTCGATCGATCTTTCCGCTTCCAGAAATTCTACGCTATCTGCAAAAAAATCAATTTTTTCGACTTCATTACGCCTTTGACGCCCCACGTTGTTTTTATACTGTAATCTGTGAAGCTAAACAAGGCATGTCAGTGCAAACATAAGTATCACAACAATCATAAGATAGGTTAAAGCTTGCCGTACGCGGTCGAAGCCTCCTCTCGGAACGGAAACAACGAATAATTGGTTGCGTATCGATGGGCTGCGTATCTGGGCGTGGATCAAGACGAAATGATCGTTAGGTAGAATTAAGTAGATCTATTAAGCGGTCGTTCGATTACAATATGTACTACAGAGCAAGGATGTATCGAAAGCTTTGACATAATAAAAGATTTAATTGTCTGTATTACGTAAGCTTACTCGTACATTGGATATGAACGAGCACCGGGCGCCCTAGGACAACAGAAATTCTGTTATTCCGCTTCTCATTGCGAGAAAGCAAAACGTAGTTCATTCTATGGAAAGAGAATACACCTCAAATGGATACATTGA